GTTGATTAAAACTTTAAATAAATGCCCGTGCTGTATCAATATGTCTTTAACAATGACTTTTCAATCACAATTGTTTATTTAGGACTAGATAACGTCTTGTTTTTTACCAATTAATTTTCTTAGTTAAAGTGCACCCTTCTTTGCTCGAGAGTAAAATGAGCTCTGGTATAAACTCCGCTAGGAGCTTTATTGAGTTCCTAAGTATGTTTGAGAAGAAGGGAGATGTTTACATTCCTAAAGACTTATCTCAGAACATTCTGAGGCACTTTGGAGAGAGAACAAAAGAAGGCCTTCTTCTCAGATACGAAGAGGTTCTCTATCTTTACAACAAAAACAAGAATCCAGTGGATCTCAGAGCAAGGATGTATTTTGATCTGAAAAACAGTGACTATAATATTTTATTTAGCAGTACTGGTAAGGCAAAGATCTACAATAAGAGAAAGCACTTTAACAGGAAAAAAGATAAGGAAATAGGCGTGTTTGAGTACTGCAAGAAAGATGAGTGCTTTAAGGATAAGGTTCGAGAATATTCAAGTGAAAATCTGCTAAGTAATAAATTAATAGCAGCAATTGAAAGCTGGAATGATTATTGCTTAGTTGAAATAACACCAATAAAAAAGCCTAACAAAGAGTTGAATGATAAAAAATTATTAAAATAAACTTAACCAGATAAAGTTCTGTTTGTTTAAGTAGAAGATGGTGTGCATTATCTCCCAATACAATATTATTTTCTTCTTTTTTGAAATAAAGGTTTAGCCCCATCTCAATGCACGAAGATGGAGAGTTGCTCAATGACAAATTTTCTAATGAAAAATTGTCTGACGAGAAGGCGTCTGAATCATCGACGAACGAATCTTTAAAAGCTTCTCCGTACCAGCCTAAAGCTTCTCCAATACCACTGCATTTTCATATGGTAAAACAATTAACAATTATTGGAAGGGGAGAGTGTGGAAAGACCAGCCTTGTCAGAAGATTCATGAAAAATGAGTTTAGTGAAGAGCTCAGTGCTACACCGATCGAGAATGAGGACTATGTATTTACCTCGGAAGGAAAGCAGTTTAAATTAAAGATCTGGGACACCAGCGGGCAGGATGATTTCCTACGTCTCAGAGGTCTTACACTTCCTATGAGTGACTATGTAATGATTTGTTATAGCATTACAGATCCCCTATCCTTTTATGAAGTGGAAAACACACTCATGCCAATGGTCAAACAGAAGGCAAGAGAGGATGTTAAGATAATGCTGGTAGCCACTAAGGTTGATAAAAGATCCGAGGATACAGTTAGTACAGAAGAGGGCACAATGCTGGCTAAGAGAATAGGCGCCTTTAAGTTTATTGAGTCCTCCTCAGTTATTGACATTGAAAAGAATACTGGAATTAAGAGTATCTTTGATGAACTAAGGAAGGATATGCTAGAATCATCTTCACCAAAGCAGCGAGGGCTCTTCAGAAGGATATTCTTCTGCTGCCTGTAACTAAATACTTTGCATTCCAACTCTTTCTTGCTTTGTAAACACGCGCAAGGCAAAGTTCAATAGGATTTTAAGCTAAGGCTAATTGACATCAAGTATTAGTGCTAGCATATTTTCTAGATATTTTATTTTTTGGATTTTGCGGTGAAACATATTTTTAAACACATTTTTCATCCACAAATGTACGAGGAGTTTGTTGAAGATCTACCAGTTTTACAAAAATCAACAGAAACATTTCTGATAAAGGGATTAAAGCTGCCATTTTATGCTTCAAGCAATACAATTGTAAAAGTAGTAGGCAATTATTATTTCAGAAAGGAAAACTTCGTTCTTTTTGCCTCCCCATGTTCCGGAAAGCTCATCGGAATACTGGAAATGGTAAAAAGCTTGCGAGATTATGTCGTTTTGACAGACAGAAAGACTAGAGAGCAATTTGATACCAGGAATATTTGTGATAATAATATCATTTTAGCCGATGGTTTTAATTTTGAAGAAAGCTCGGCAAAGTTTTTAATTTTTTACAACACAAAAATTCCATTTGAGCAGATAGACAATAACAATGTTCATATAAGTGGATTTTATGATTATGTAGGACTATGCAATACAAAAGAGTACAAAAGCTATATTCAGAACCAAGTTTCATATTTTCCTGACAATTATATTTACACAGTTATTTGCCAATACCCAAAGCAGAAAAAAGTTGAGTTGGTATTTGGAACTGACAATTCAATAAAGCATCTGTCAGTATCTAATATTGCCAATAGTGAGGTGTGTGGTTTGGAATCCCGAAGATGCTGTGTTTTCGTTAAATACACCCTTCCGCCTGCAGTGCTAAGCTATTTTAAAAACCAGAAAATTGAAGTAGTCAACAAAATACCGTATGGATTTAAGACAGACAAGTTGGTTTTCTATGACATCTGCCCCGAGCTCATATGTGCTGCTTTAGACCATATTGACCATGTGGTTATAGTTTATACAAGGGATGACTTTGGTACCTTAAAGGAAATTTACCGGACACTCGAAAACAAAAGTATTGAAGTGCCAGATTTTATCCAGAAAATTGTAGGCTAGAAAATTGGTTATGATCGGCAATATTGACAAACATGGTCTGAGCAAATAATAACATGTCTATAGGCCATATACAATGGCTTGCAAAAGCCTCATACATCTGAACACTTATCTTAATTAAATCGCCAGTCTTTCATTCTTTGCTATCTTTTCGCCCCTCTCAAACGACAATAAAATGGATGTGAATCAATCCTCCACAAAGATTAAATCTGAGATTTTAGATGATTTAACTCTCAGATTTATTCTAAACAATGAAGAATTCATTCACTTAGACCCAGAAGAATACTACTTTATTCTAGAACAGGCATATTGGTATGCCTTGGATTTCTTCAAAATCAAATTTATAACACTTCCTGTATTTGCCGAGCAAATTTTTGTACACAATGACATTTCAATAGACTCTCTCTCAGACTACCTGAAATTTAAGAAGTATAAGCAATCTGTTAAGGTATTTGGGACCATTCTGTTCTCTCCTGATATGACACATGTTCTTGTCGTTAAGCAAGGCAATAACAACAATAATATAACATTTCCAAAGGGAAAAAAGATAAAAAATGAAAATGGAATGGAGTGTGCTATTAGAGAAACATTTGAAGAAGTGGGCTACGACGTCACAGACAAGATTGTAGATATTTCTGTGACTGTGTTTGATAAAATCACTTTTTATTGTGCATTTAACGTTGATATGAAATATCCATTTAAAACTAATACGAGAAACGAAATTTCAAAGATTTTCTGGTTTGATTTGAGAAAATTTAATGATATTAAAGACAAAAAAGAGTATAAAATATTTTACATTGCGTATAAAGCAATACAAAGCAAAGTTTTGGAAATTAAGAAATCATTGTTTAAATTTGATTTGAAGAAACTTAGTTCTGAAATCGATAAAGCGATGGAAAAAGTATGAAATACAGCAGCACTGGCATATTTGGACAATCAGATTACGCACCTACCTACACAAGCAAACACATTCTTGGGAAAACAGGTGACAACAATGAAAAATCTGCTATATGTGGATGGATGCTAACGACTAAGTATAAGTTTGGTAAATGGGCTTCAATCCACCAACTAATCACTATTGGTATGAGGAATTTGGTTTAATTGAATACTCTTATGTCCTTTTCGTCTGCAAGAATCGCTACATCAGTTATTGTTAGGAAATGAGTAGATGCGGTAAACTATAGAGTATAGTATTTAGCCGATTATACAGAACCATCACTTTGGCTTTTAAGCAAAGCCTTTACGATTATTGTCTCTTGGTTTACAAACAAATCTATGAGGAACCTTGTTACGTAGTGGATGAGCAGAAGACCAATCGCAGAATGGACAACATGAAGAAATATTGAAATCTTTGATGCCAAGCCATCCCCTTTGAGATAAATAGAAAGGCACATTGGAAGAGAAGACAGTCCTAGAAAAACACCTACTCCTTTATGAACAAAAACAAAACTAAGAAAGATGGCTGAAGGAATAAAGCTATAAAAGCAATCAAGGGGTGTGTAATAAAGCATTAGTAAAAATGATTTGACAGTCAGAAACAGGGCCATTTTTACTTTTAGGTTATTTTTATATGCTGTTCTTATCCAGATGTATGTATTTAAAATGGTTTCAGTAAGTAGAAGATATGAGAAATGGAGATTTCCGGAAATAGTTAATATTGAGAGTGCGTTAAGCACACATATCCATGTAGCTATGTTAAAACGAGAGAAATAAGGATTGTCCGAGTTAAAATGTTGTGAAGATCGTATATGTATCAGAATGAGTAATATTGGTGAGAATATAAACAAGGAAAACCTGAAAATATTTGAATAAGTGAAGATCATAAAGATGCTTCCGAGAAAGAAGTAGTTGATGATGTGCGAGTAAATGAATGTGAAAAGCAAAGTCACGTTGAGTTTTGTGAAGAACCGGGTAATAAAATATGATTCGTTTGGGTTGAGAAGATTTTTCACAAATCTGTCTCCAAATTTATCATAAAAGGCCCTATTATATGGATCTCTAAGAACATTATATGCTGTGTTGAGGTCCAGCAGCTTTTCCTTATCATTACTATTTAAATATATGTATGTTAGTATTCTATAGCTCTTTTCTATTTCTTCTTGTGTAGCGTTTTGGCTAACATGTAAACTTTCGTAAAGAATCGGCATTTTGGGGTTTCAAAACAATGAAATGGTTATTAAATTATAAATGAAGAATATGCACATGTTTGGAAACAATATGGAAGCATTAAACATACGTTCCACTTTTTTGTATGTCACCTTTACCAGAGCGTCCTTTTAGTCATTAGTTAGAACATGCTTATATCTTCCTGGAAATGGAGCATTTCCATAATAAATCAGCGTCAAAACAAACAGTCTTATCAAGAATTAAGAATATTATAGCCCGTTGGACAATTTTGAAAATACAAGCATCATGGCTGCCGTTCGATTTAAAAGGAAGACCGTTCACATCAGCCATATATTCAGTTAAGTAGCTACTCCTTTCCCCTTTAATTCTATCATTTAAATTAACTTACTATACCCCGTAATGACACATCCAAAAGCATTAATGGATGATAGCATCGAGAATGGACAAGAGTTTTTTTGTACCAAAGTCGATACAATGGAAAACTCAAATAAGACTGGAAATACTATCCTTGATCCTTTAAAACGTACAAAATCATTCTATAACAGCGAATTTATTAGATCTAACTTCTGCCCTTTAAAATTGAGTAGAAGTGATATTAAAAATCTGTCGAGTGACTTTCCAGACCAGACACTTGGTGGACACAGGATTTACCGGGAAGAGTTAATAGATGGAAAGCTTGCAAAGGTATATGAGTATAAAGTCAAAATAATCAAGTACGACAACGAGTACTTGAAAGTAGAGAAAAAAGTCGGCGATGAATTTGTACAGCCATTAATAATAATTGAGAACAATTTGATAGTTCCGTTTAATCAAAACTTAGCCATACAAAGGAAGATTGATGTGTCACAAGATCATCCTTTAAATGCTCTTAGCGATATAGGGCAGTTGCCGATTAAAAGAGGTAGACCCAGAAAGTACCCTGTTGGTAAAGAGCCGTATAAAAAGAAAAAATATCCTGAAAGAAACTATGAAATCATTCCAGAGTCTGACAATCTCAGATATCAAGACGATTATTCTATCAAAGAATTTGATGCACTACCTTTTACGTTTTCTAATGACTATCACAGACAACCTCGCTCTCCAAGTCCCTATACAAACGAGTACTATGACTTTCAAACTGGCCAACCAGTTAAAATAACTGGGTCCGAAAAATCAAGTGAACAGAGTAGCATTTTTGAAATCGATGACCATTTTAAGGACCTCTTATCGCAGCAGCACATTCCAAAAACCTATGCGCAAAAAGGAAAGGAGAGCCCAAATGAATTGACAGATTCCTATTCGAGAGACTACTTTTAATATGATTTGATAATAATAAATACAACTTATTAATATATCCATCTCAGTTATAAAGCGGTAAACTAACTCCATGCTCTTGCAAACTCTCCTTGCCTTGTGTATCTTCAAAACATTGTAAACACGCTACTACAAATACATTGTTGAAAGGTATGAACAAACAAATGGAAGGCATCGAAAAGCTTTCAATAAGCATTCTTGATCTCGATATAAAAAATATAGATCAAAGCATGAAGGGACTATGGGACATAGGAATTAGGAATATACACATTGACATTATTGATACTTCATTCATAGATAACATTAGCTTTGGGGTGAGCTTTGTCAACTGTATTCTTCAATACTCTGGATTTGACTTTTTCATTCACATTATGATCAAAAATCCTATTTTAATTATCAGCAAGCTCAAGTATCCAAAAGGTACAAAAATAGCAGTCCATTCGCATTTTGAAGATGTATTAAAGCTAGAACACATTGTGCCTGTATTATCTATCAATCCCGAGCAGAATATTGATCAGTTTAAACACTATGTTCCAAGATTTAAAGAGGTTTTGATAATGACTGTTTATCCTGGATTTGGCGGGCAGAAATTAATAGAAGGATGTGTTAACAAAATTAAATGCTTTCAGCTATGTGGAGTAAAGGTAACGGTTGATGGCGGTATAAACATTTTCAATATCTCACAGGTGAAGCATGCAGATTCAATCGTTGTGGGTTCTGCGTTTACAATGGCCAGCGATAAAATGCAAACGTTGAAAGAGCTGCTAGAGAAAATCGGCTAAGTAAATTTGGGCATACTAACAGTCGTATTCTCCAATATTAAATTCCAATTCAGCATATTGTACATATTTAAATAGTTAATCACCGCCCCTACATATGTAAAATCAATCATACGGGCAATAGCTCGGCATGTATTGGCACAAATATTGATTCAGCTTTCATGGATAATGTTAGCGGCTCATTTTCTTGACACTTCTCACCCTTGTAAAAATGGATTTGAAAAGACTATACAAACAAAAAATTACAGATGAAATTCTCAAAACTTACGGAGATGCCTGGTCTGTTCTTATTCATGACAAAATGACTGCGGACATTGTCAATTCAATATTTAAAAAATCGGATCTCATCGATTTCAATATAACTGCAATATTCTCCATTGGCGACCATAGACCCAAGTGGGATCTTCCAGCCATTTACTTTGTAAACTGCACAAAGGAAATAGCAAAATCCATAAATTCTGAGTATAAGTCAGGTAGGTATTCATCTATAAAAGTATTTTCGCTATGTCCTCCTCAAAATCTTGATCCTATGATTAAATGTACTGTTGTAATGTTAGACATAAAAATAATTGAAGAGCGAATATTCCAATGCACCTGGGATAATCTATCTGCAGTTTCCAGCATTTTAAATGCCAAATTGAATATTAGTCATATTGGCTGTACAAAAAACCTGGCTCAAAAGATCAAAGATGCGCTAATATTGCCAAGAAGTATAGAGAAGCAGGCATCACTGCTTGTATTAGATAGAACGGTAGATTTATACACGCCTTTGATGTATTTCTTTACTTTTAGATCAATATTGTCTGAGGTAGGTTCTGCTGACTGTGCTGATGAATATTATAAAGAGATTAGAAATAGACACGTGGGTGAGATAAGCAAATATTTACAGTACACGGTTTTAAAATTACAAGAGAGTATCAATAAATTAGACAAGGATAACGTTGATGTCAACGTACTAGACACGCTTGTTCTTGAAGCTCCTAAAAATCTAGAGCTAAAGAAGAATGTTGAAAAATACGGTAAGCATCTAGAAAAATGCTTTCAAAAGCTGCAGGAAGTTCAAGGCATAGCAGAATCGCAGCAAAATTTAGTATTGGAGAAAGATAAAGCAGGGAATAAGGCTTGTATTTCCCTTGATTATTTTATGTCGTCTATTGTTTCGCCAGCACTAACTGTAGATGACAGAGTGGGACTGCTTTTTCTGCTGAAAGTGAAAGGAATCATATTTACCGAGTCCGAGCTCACTCTTCTAAAGTCTCGGGGATTTTCCAGGGAGGATTTAAGCATCGTTTTTAACAGAAGAAATCAGATATTAAGAACCCGAGAAGTTAATTATAAATACGAGGTCAGTCGATATGAGCCTATAGTTAAAGATGTTGTTGAAAACTTTATAACCAAACAGGGAATGTTCCAAACGATTGATCATGAGCAAGAGAAGATTGAGTCGCTACGTAGATCAACTATGTTTAGCTCAGGAAAGCAGCCAAGAAAGCTGGTTGTTGTTTTTATCAAGAATGGGCTGGCGATTGAGGAAATGAGACTGGCGTATTCCCTATCAGAAAGCTTAGGAGTGGAGTTTATATTTGGAAGTGACAAGGTGTTAACGAGAAGAGAGTTTGTAAACGAATACAGGACGAATGCAGAGTTACATGAGGCAGTGATCGACAAGCGATAGTGGTAGTTCATTTGTTAATACATTTATATGATATGGCAAATTTCAGCTGAAGATAGGTCGTTATGTTTTAAAGTACATTAAATTTTAATCACTGAAAAATTCTGTGCTGTCTATACTTTACTTTTTATCATTAACTGACTGGAATCGATTGTTAAACCCGTCTTTAGCGAATTTAGTTTATTAAAAATCATTCTGCCCCAAATGTCAACGGATGGTGAGAAGACTGCAGAAAAATTGAATTTGCAGAAAAACACAGAGGACAAAATAAAAGTTGAGAATGATGAAGAGACTGACAAGGCCAATCCAAACAAGGGTCTTTATGACATCGAAGTAACGGATATAAACAAAAGAGCTTTCAAGTTAGCAGAACTTAAAGGAAAGGTCATTATCATTGTTAATGTAGCATCTAAATGCGGACTGGCCGAGAAGTCCTATCAGGAATTAGCTTCTCTCTTGGCCAAGTACCATTCAAAAGGCTTGAGAATACTTCTTTTTCCTTGCAGACAATTTTTAAATCAAGAGTACGAACAGATGGAGAAAGTAAGGAGTTTTGCAAATAAGTTTAGTGAAAATTTTATGCTGATGGATGAGATTGATGTAAAAGGGCCCAGTATTCATCCACTGTTTAAATTCTTGACTGAAAACTTGAAAGGATTTCTTACAAACAATATTAAGTGGAATTTTACCTATTTTCTAATAGGTAGAAATGGAGAGTTGGTAAGAAGATATGGGCCAACCGAGAGATTGCCTGATGCAGACAAAGATTTGGTTCGTTGTATTGGTGATGTGGAGGACGAAGTTGAAAACTGAAGAAACACAAAGATTTGTGTTAATATGGTGTACCATTATATTGAAGTAAATCTTACCACCACTGAGTTTCACTTTAAAGAACATGTTGCTTATTTGTCTATATTGACCTGCCGTGTGCTTTTTGATTTAGTCTAAATTAATAACTAAATTAATTTATTTTTAAACGGTCTAATACGCACATTTAATCCGTACTTTTAAATAAACACAATTAGTAAACACCAATGGCATAATACTATGAAGAGTAGAATGGAAGTGGTGCATTTGAGCATGTTTTAATTGCTTTACTTTCGCTGGTTTGGCTTTCCTTCTTATATAAAAAGTTTTTTTATATTTTTTTCCACCCTTAATGGAAGACCATTATTTACAAACACTAGTTGCGAGAGCTCTGATTGAAACACTGGATGTGAAGGTGAGGGAGAACGTGCTGACCCCAACCCAGGCACAGTTTGTTCTATCAAAGTTTTATGAGGCGGTGCCCAAAGTCTTTAACGCCTCAGTTGCCAACACGATGAGCTTCAAGGCGAAGATGCTGACGTACAACTATGTTGATGGAGTATGGAAGTTCATAGCAAAGGATTTTGGGATGAGCATAAACAATAAAGTATATAGAACCGATTTTATTAGAATAATAGCACGAGATGCAGATATTAATGGGGATGTAGGGAGAAGAAGGAAGAGGAAAATATGATTTAGTAAACATTTTATGAGATACAAAAGTATATTAACCCTGTTTCTATTTATTACGATTGGATCTGTATTAGTGTACGAAGATATGCTCAATGAGACAGTCTGCATATTTTAAAGATTGTTTTAAAAAGTATGAGCAAATCTTAAATATAACAAGCCTACCTTATAAGTTTGCATTTTTTGACTTTTTATATTTCACTTTTATCTAAAAAATTTCCCCTTCCCATCCATGGACAAATACAACTTCTTTCAACAAACTCCCAAAAAAGAAGACTCGGAAAAAGATAGACTAGGCTCAAGCAATCCACCCGTAAACTCTTTGGTTCCACTTTCTGCGCCTAGCTTTGATTCTACACAGCAATCTTCTCTTCCTTTTGGAAATTCAACTAACATTTTTGGACAGAAACCATCCTTTGGAAATAATCAATCTTTTGGTGGCAGCAATGTACCATTCGGCAGTAGCAATACATCATTTAGTAGCCCATCAACAAATAATCCTAATCCAATCGGTGGTAATGCTACATTTGGAAATACTTTTGGCACAGGCACTACACCGTTTGGTGGGACTTCAAATATTACATCTACCTTTGGAAAGCCGAGTGCACCCACCACACAGTTTGGAAGTATGCCAGGCACCCAATTCGGCAGTGGCTCTGCTTCGCAGTTTGGAAGTACACCTGCTCCACAGTTCGGAACTACATCTAATATGCAGCTTGGAAACACATCCACCACACCGTTTGGAGCATCTTCAGGCACACGATTCAATACTACACCAAATACAGGCTCATTTGGGTCTTCTTGGAATGCACAGCCATCGCTTTCTTCAGGTTGGAATATGACAAATAAGGGCTCTAGGGTCGTTCCATACTCAACAACGAGAATAAGAGAAGATACAAATCTCTATGCCGATCTAGTTGATATAACAGGAATGAAAGAATATGTAAACAAGCCAATTGATGAAGTTAGAAAAGAAGACTACGAAATGTCATTTAGCCAACCTAAGCCAACGTCAGGATTTTCTTCAACAACTTCAGGCAATGCTGGATTTTCCTCATCGTTTTCGGGCAACACACCAAATAGTGGATTGTTTGGGGCTACAACAGCTCCAGCTCCCACAAGCAGCGGTTTTGGATCCACAAATGTGCCAAGCAGCGGATTATTTGGATCTTCTCTTTCCAAGCCATTTGCATCTACCGGTACTTTCCAAAGCTCCACTATGCAACCTGGCCAGTTTGGTACACAGCCAGGTATTTCTACTACTCAACCTAATCTATTTGGCAACCAACCAAATCCATCCAACATGCAATCAGGTGTGTTCGGCGCCCAGCCTATCTCTTCTGCTACATCGACTGGATTTCCTACAGCTACCCCGTCAATTTTTTCAGCTTCCCAGCAGTCAACTATGCCTTTCTCTGGCACATCAAATATATTTGGTAATGCCCCTGCACAGCCTTCTGCTACAACTAACCTTTTTGGATCTAAACCTGGCACAGATTCCTCTATTATCACGCCACCCTCACTCTCTCCATTTGGGACACCAGCTAATAAAGCATCTACTGGCCCACTTGGAGCCATATCCACAACACCGATGACACAGCCCCAATCTACAGGCACAGGCTCGAGTATTTTTGGATCACAGCCTTCTACTAATTTTCTTGGTACTCAACCACCAACTAGCTTATTTAACACCCAACCCCCCAGTAATTTGTTCACTACTCAACCAACTGCTAATTTGTTTAACACTCAACAGCAGAGTGTCTTCGGTACTCCGTCTTTTACATCCCCATCTGCTTCAATTCAGCCTGTTTCTATCCCCACCAAAGTTGATATGTCTGATCCATATCTTCTCAAGAACATTCAATTTGAAAAATTTGAACAGCAAAAGCCCTCACTTAAAGTCTCTTTGCCAACACCCTTGTTTAAAACCAACAAAGACAAACCTGTTGTAGAGCTTAAAATTAGAGCGCCAAAACCCATTCAGCGAAATGCAATTTATACCATACCTGAGCTAAAGGATGTTGATGCAACACAGACAATCTCAAATCTTGTTATTGGATTTGAAGGCAAGGGCCGTATAGAGTTTTTAGAGCCTGTTTCTGTCAAATCATTAGAGGATATTGAAAAGCGCATTTCATTTAGGGATGAAAATGTTGAAACTACAGATACTATTGGATCTGGCCTAAATAAAAGGGCCAGGGTGTATGTTGAGGGATTATTTCCTATTTGCAGGACTACAAATGAGATAATCAAAGGAAAGGCAGAGGCATTTCCACAGAAGGGAATTCAAGAAAGATTTATCTATCAACTTAAGAATGATTCTACCAAGAAGTTTATTGATTACGATGTTGATAACGGTATTTATGTGTATGAAGTTAACCATTTTTAAATTAAAAATTAAACAGTAGACTATAAAGCTTTCTTGAATGGTAGAATAACTTGCCTGTTTCTCGAATTTCTATACATTTTATTTCTATTTATGGGTACGTCGTGAATGAAATGTTGTAGCTAAAGCCACTTGGTTTCTAAAGCTTTTTCTTTCAAAATTTTAAACTTTAAAAAATTTTTACCCAACATGAAAGCAAGCACACAAGTCAAAAGTATAGCACGCATTCTGTTTCTTTCCTTAATGCTGATGGAATTTGTGTTTGCCAGCAGGCGTAAACACAAAAAGAAAAAAAATCCCACTGTGACAAATGGATCTGATTCTTCATTAGCATCTAGTCCAAGCAGTAGTTCATTAGCAAGCAATGGCAATTGTACTATTAGGAGTAATTTTCATTCGATTACACAGCTGTTTCCACCAACTTTCAAAAACAATGCTTTCCGAATGCGTCTTTCTGATGGGTATATTATTAATGCCCAAGATCATGAGAATTCAGCTTGCCAAGACTGCATTCGTAATGCAAAAACCCTAGAACACCTCTTTGGCATGTTTAGAATATTTAATGTTGAGCATTACAAACCATTCTTTGATTTCATTCTTTACACTTTACCTCAATCCAGTGACAAAAGTGTCGAAGTCATGGTGGTTCAAGCCGATGATGCTGAATGGTATTTGCCTGTCAGAAATGGTGGTGAGAATTCCAGGATTGCTTTCATTAGAATGCAAGATAAAAACGAAGATAAAAATTACCATACTTATAAGACACGTTGGTCAGTGTTGCCATTTTTTACAAAACAGAACCATCCAAAATCATTCTTAGTGTTTGTAGATAATTTTGACATCTTTGAGAATTTAGAAAGCAAAAGGTTGACCTTTTTCCGTATTAATGTCAGAAGCTTAGAGTTTATTATTGGGCTTCGTAGCTGCTTGGAGGAAAAGAAGTCCCGAACTCCTACGCGTTGATTGGTTCGTTGAAGAATAAACGATTATCTGTGTAAGATTTACTGCTTTGGATCTAATTTTATAAGCTTATTATTAAAAGGTTTCAATAGCTATGCTAAATTACCGACTTAATGTTGTTGTTTAAGCAAACTATTTGGTCTAGCACTGTGCATACAAGGCCAATTGCTTATTTACAGCTTTGCTTCCGTGATTAATAACTTTTATATTTTTCATCCTCTTTGTAAAAATTTTTATGCCCTGCAAATGCAAGCTAAATTCGAGATGAAGCTTATACTTCTTATGATTCTAAACGTTTTTACTGCAAAGCTTGAAGAAGAGTCAATAACACCACACGAAGACAGTAAATGTGAGTTCCATACTGCGAGTCTAAAATTCTCTAGTATTTCGAATAAAAGCTCTGTGCAATCTGGTTCTACCATACCTTGGGTCTCTAAACATGAAGCATATTTCTTCACCGCATCATCCCCGGACAAAGACAACCATGAACTGCGTGTATGCAAGAATTGCTATTCCCAATTTGAATTGTTTCAATCTGTATTGGACTGTGTTAAAAATGGAAAAGTATAAAACCACGCATAGTTTTTTACCATCTTCATTGAAAGGTTATAAGATTCTTAAAAAAACACACAATGATATAGAAAGTGTACTGTTTTTAGTATTGGAAGTAGATCCAAACAAAGAAAAGCAAAATTCAATTATGGAAGTGGATGTAGCCATAGAGGAGTCGGAGGTGCAAAAAGTGCAAAAGATGTATTATCTTCTTGTCTCTAATGAGCATGGCAGACTATTTGCATTAAAAGTGGTGCCTTTTGATAATAAGCCAGAGGGGTCAAAGTATAAATGGATTATCGAAAACTTTAACTTGGTTTCTTTGGAAAAGATCCCGAATAAGTGGACTTCAGGAATAGCCAATGTTGAAATCGGCGAGGTTAGCGTTCCCATGAATTTTGAAGAAATGTATAGATCGAGAAGGTAATATTTTATTATTAAATCAATGTTTGCAATTCTAGTCCTTACAGCCAGTTTTCATCTAAAATTGTATTTTCTGTACTTGCCTTCTTCAATATTTTATCAAATAATCTATCATAAATGTGTAAATATACTTATTAAAATTCCATAGCACTCTGTCCACTTACTCGTCTTTCTCTTTGTTTACCCATGGAAACCATCAGAACTCTTCCTGTAATCTACAACTTACTTGAAAATGGTGACCTCAGACAGGCGATCACCATAATCAACCAGTATGTAGAGATACTTGCTCCTCATATAAGCTTTCAGTTCCCTGACAGCTCTGAATTAGATGAGGATGCTTGCCTCTTTTTATGCAAATTCTTCCTTCTTAGAAAGGAATACAAAAGATGCATTGATTACGGATTAAAGGCAAAGAACATCCTAAATAGACTGGAGCCCTTCTATTTTGAATCTTTTATTTATAGAACAATGGAAGAGCTCCTCCAAGCCAACAATAGTGTGGACGATAGTGCTGTAAATAACAGTAATCACATAGGCAATTTGAGATCTTTTGTGCTACACTTAATAATGAAAGATCCGATAAACGATGCTAAACTCGGATATCTGCTTCAAATAAAACAGTTTGATTTATTAAAGGAATGCATTATCGAGTTGTCCAAGAAAAATGAGGAGTGTAGAGATATTTTATTGATACTCATGGATGTTGCGCCAAAGGAAATGACGGAGATATTTGCTGAATGTGGTATTACAAATAGATGCTTTTTTGAGCATGTCATAGATGCTCTTGTTACACTGGAAAGATTCGACCAATTGAAGGAGATGGTATCCTCCTTACCCTGGCATAAGATGTATACTGCATGCCTTTATCTTGAGGATACCCACCAACACAGAATGGAAATAGAAAATGAAAATGCTAGCTTCATCTTAAGTGGGCAGTGGAAACAGGAAATACTTTCCAATTTCCTATTTAAGAACAGCAATAAACTTAATTTCAAGCTTATAGAGGCTATTTCCAAAACAAGAGCCCCATATCTAGTACTAGGTAATTCATTCCTGAACGCAGGTACTACGAATGATACACTTTACAGAAATAATAAGAATCTAATAAGCGGAAGAGACTGGAATAGGTTTTTGGAGTTTGCCTCTCTGGGGATGATTCATCAGGGCAATATTGATCCATTTGAGATTTTAAAAGAGGTGTTGCCTTCTTTGGAATCTAACTCGGGAGAACCAGGTGCCTTGATGGCTCTGGGAATCATGAATGCAGGTAGAAGTGACGAAGAAACAACTGAGTATTTCCTAAACTGGTTGAGTAGTAGCTCTGAGGAGATGATATTCGGTGCATGTGTTGGGTTGGGACTTAACATGATGCAAACTGGAGATAAAAGTGTATTTGAAAGGCTCAAATCTCTTTTTTCTATTGATAACACAATAGTTCAAGAATCTGCTCTTTATGCCATTGGACTGGTGTATGCAGGATGCGAAGATGATGAAGCCATTAGCTTTGTGCGATCGGTGCACGATAGGACATTTCTTCCTCGTGTTAAAAGGGTGGCTGAGTTGTCCGTGGCCCTGATGAATGCGTTAAGTGATAATAGAACTGATCTACTTAATTATCTTGATTCTGATGATTACAGTATACGATCTATGGGTCTTCTTTCACTAGGCACTGCCTATGCTGCCACCTCAGATCTAAAAATTATTGAGAAGGTCCTGCCTTTTGTGAATGATGGGGATGATGAGGCAAAAAGATCAGCTGTACTAGCCATTGCATTAATTGGATATGGAGACTGTGAGATTAAGAACTCGTGTCTTGTACCTCTGGCTGAGAACCACAATCCATTCGTAAGATCTGCAGCAGCCCTTTGTTTGGGATTTTTCAGCGCTGGAATGTGTGATGTTGATACCTGCCGTATATTAGAGGCCATGCTGTATGATAGTGAAGACTTGGTACGACACAGTGCCTGTCTAGGTGCTGGATTTGCACTAATGCAGGGAAATCCCACCCTAATTCCTAATTATAAAAGAACAATGGACCGAATCAATTATCTTCTAGTCACCAGGTCTGAATCGCCGTGCGTCAAGATGGGTGCATCTTTAGGTAGAACCATTGCAGAGACATCCTCTAGATGTGCTGTATTTACTCTAAAGAATTTTAATGGCCAAATTCTATGCTCAAAGCTCGTAGGTGCTCTCTTATTCTTCCAATCGTGGTACTGGTATCCTTTAATTCCATGCATTTCATTGTGTCACCATCCAACACCATTGTATTTTTTCGATGAGAATCTTGATGAGACTAATGACTATTTCATAAATTCCGATGTTTACTATGATTATTTTGTTAAGCTTCCTGAACTGAAGAAATCAAGAAAGTTCAAGCCCAGTAAGTCATCTGAGCAGAACAAGGATATAATTGAGCCAGCTAAGAACGGGCTTAAGAGCGGTGATAGGCTGACCTATAAGGAAAGGATAGTTAAAGACATGGGAACAGGAATATTCTTTAAAGAGAAATAAACGACAACAATTTCATATATTTGGTGTGCTGTATTGACCATGTTTTTATGCACAAGATTTATTTTTAACACACTACTTTTTTATGCTAAAGTAGTAAGTACTGGGCAAATCTATTTATTTCTTAAGCCCTTCCGATTGATGGAAACATTTTCAAAAGACACTTTGTTCAACGATCTTCCGCAATCCATCAAACAGAAGATAGTAAACATAAGAAACCTAAGCATACAATACAGAAGCATTCCTCAGACGGTGTATGCTTCTGGGGTTAAGGGTGATTCTTCTGAGCTTGCATTTTTCGAGCATGTCTCAGTTCCTTCTTCAAAGAGTCTTTGCGATACATTTTTGAGAATGGCACAGGCGATCGAAAAGCTTGAAAGTGTCGATGCGACATGTGACTTAAAGAAGGAGCTAGCTGAGTTTTCGGAATTTGTCAATTTTTACAGATTGGAAACCAACAACATTGATTTTATAGGCGAACTAGAAAAGACTATAGGAATGATGGAAAGTAAGTTTGAGAAAATCAAGGAAAAGTAAGGGTTTGAAAAAAGCTTGTACGCATTTTAATACTCAATTTGAAAGAGTGTAATGTGAATCTAATTAAATAAAAGAACTGATATACTATGCACATTCTTTAATAGTTAAAGGCTCTTTGTACATCACCCTTTCGGCAGTATTGGCCGGCACAAATAGTGAACTACTGCTGTGTCATTTGTGTCTTCCGTTATATTCTTTAATTTAGGGCTATTACAAAACAGAAGAGATTGCAAGAATCAAGAAATTTTTGAAAACGGGATATGTATTAATTCATTATTTGATAGCGTAGGACAGTCTTATTCTTCCTCAACTTCCTCAATCTTCTTTCCAAAAACCATTGGTTTCCTGATTATGTCTTTAAATTGATTAAACTCCCATTTGCTAAGTCCAGTTATGTACAATGCTTTGCCGTCCAGGTTTGAAAGACCCTTTCTGATCTTGCTGTTTCTAATTGATCGCAACTCACAGATAGCTGATTCTATCTCATCATTCATAAAAAGAGTACTGTGCTCAAAGAAGTATTCTGGAAGTTCAACAAAGTTTGTTTCAGTTTTCTCTTTCTGGATTATATTCTCGACATACTCCTTTGAAATGTACTGGGGTGGAATAATCGAGCAGAGATTCAAAGACTGAAGATGCAGAGCAAGATATAATGGGATTCTGCATGTTTTTAATGGAGAACATCCTTTAAAGTCAAATGTCAACAATCTTTTTGCTGGAATTGTTGTGAAAGCTTCTATTTCTGCTTCGTATTGGAGTGAAAGATTTATCAATTCTTCTGGTGTCATTTAGGGTTTGTGGATATGTTGAAAACCTGTTTTAGACCAAAGAAGAGATGAACTAGTTCTTTTATAATAAACGAGCTGTATTATTTTCGTAATCTTTTAAGTAGAATTAATAAAGTTAAATAAGCTATCTATTGAGCATTTCCCATAAAGGTTTTTTACAGTTCATACTAAACACAGCATAAATCTACTTAGCTAAACGAAACCACCTGTTCATCCATTGAACTCAATCGTTTCATCCTTTCAAAAACTGATGGATGAGTGTAAAAAGGATGAAATGTTGGGTATATAAATGTATCGGACTTGACGGTTAAGTTTACAATATGTTCATTCAAAAATACAGCATCGGGCAATTTTTCATGCGCCAAAAGTGAAAATATCAAATTTTTTACGAGTTGTGGTTCAAGCTTAGAGGCAAAGTCATCAGCCTGAAATTCCAGTAGCTGTGAAAAGCTATTGAGTGGAATTTCTAAAAATATGGCAACGGTAAAGACAAAGCGCATACATTCTGCATATTTTTTAACCGTATTATTTTCACTTTTCCTTAAAAATGTGACCAAGTAGCCAAGTATGGAAATTGCAAACAATGCCATGCAAGCGAAAAGAATGTGAGAATGATGCAAGTTACAATGCCCCAGCTCATGAAGAAATACTGCTCTGAACATATCAAAATGGAGTGGGTTAAAAAGGTTATCACAGATTGCAATCATTGAATATGACCCAATTCTTACACTAGAGGCAGCTGCAAAAAACTCTGATGCAAATACAGTTACATTGTAAGTTTTAAAATTATACTTGCTGAGAAAACTTTTGTAGTTTCCAGCATCAACATTGTTGTTACTTGCAAGATACTCCATTAATGAAATGCTTTTAGTGTGAGGATCGTCTTCCAGAATGTTAATATTGATGTAGATCAATAGCATTAGGACTCTGATCAACTTCTGTGATATCGATGAACCAGAAAAGCAAATTTTGATAAATACTAGGGTGTAAATCCCACATATGGTGAGTTTCCAGAACCTGTTCATATCCAGGAAGTTTAGCACTGCTAGAATTATTAAGGTGGAAATGGTGTTTTCCACAGCATTTCTGATACATATCTTTCTAGATTCATTTCTCACAAGATAGTTTGTAATTCTGACTATAATCCACTGAACTACAAGCAGCAAACTAATGAATATTGCAGGAAAAATACCAATCAAATGGGTGATAAAAATATTATATGATCTGTTGTATGTAAATGTAAACACCTTTTCCAAGTTTACTTCCATTTTAATGGAATTTGGAATCAACCAGTAGAAATAGAAGAATGTGTATGAAAAGATTAAGGCATTGAAAAGAAAATAAACGCCAAAAGCCAGGGCTAGTTTTTGGATCTTTGATCTGTGCTGGAAGCCTTGCTGAGTAACTTGATTGTCCATTTTCACATTCCTTGCAATATTGATAATTTCTGGTCTTTCATGTATATTGCCATTCATCGTGATGAGATCGCAAGAAGTTGTTTGTCTTTATAAACAAATATTATGAATATTTGGATGGCCATCAAAATAAATAGCACTCTCCACTATCATTAATCGAATGGTCTGATCAATTAAGTGCCAATATTGGAAAACAGCAATCTATCCCTAATTAAGTTTGTGATGGAAACAAGTATAGAAGCATGGTGTGTTTTATTGAAATAACGTCTATTTTGGAATTTGCTTGCAATGAGCATATAAAATGGCTTTTTCTTTTACATTTCCATATCTACTTTATAAGTTGGCGACTAGCTTTATTGAGATCAATCTAAGCCCATATTTATGTTTTAAGCTGCAAAAGCAGTGCTTTCAGCATGTTTTTTACAGGTATTACTTCGGTTACTTCTATTTCTTGTTAAAATTTTTCTAATCTATGTACCTTCTTTCATTACCAAAAAACACGAAGGATTTACTCGACTTTCTTAGGAATTTGCAAAACAAAGATGCACGGGAACTCATTTCAATATACACACAGTCACTCACCCTTCTTACTGATGATATTCATAGTCTCTTTATCTTTCTTGATTACATTAACTTGGCTTTGAGCAGTTCAGAAATAGAAGGAACTAGAGAGGAAACATTGGCAGAAATAGACCAGCTCTTCAATTTATTCAAAGTCAAGTTAAGAAAGTTCCGCATTTTCTGGATAAACTATCTGAAGTTTCAAGTTGAATCGAGGAAAAAAGGATTTTGAAGTTTCTTTTGCAAAGATAGTCGAGTATCTAAAGCACAAGGCGTTTGAGGGTAAGGACGAGCTAATGACTAGTTTAATAGATGAGAAAGAGTCTTTGATATCTCAGTTCACTGGAAAGGTGGACAGTAAATTGGTGGATATATCGACAGGAATTAAAGCCAATTCTTTGCATAGCAGTGATATGAGTTCTTGTAATACACAAATTGGCATATTACCGGAGGATGAGAGCATAAGCGAGAAGACCAGCATAGTAAAGCGTGAAAGAAAAATGTCTGATAGTGCTGTGTGTAGCTCTGAACTTATTAATAGAAACGACTACAAACAATCTGTGTCTGATATTGCTAGCAGCAAAACTGGTCTAAGTGAAATCTCAGCCAGCCTCAATGATACTACAATTAGCATGTCTGTCGATGAGCTATTAAACTCCAATGTTTTTACTGACACATCGAGTGAAAATATTAAAAATATCCAAAACGAAAAGACTAAAAGCATAGAGGAATATAATAAAGTAGTTGAAGTTTTAGAAACAGAGGTTCAAAACAAAGTCACTGCCGAGAGTGCTTCAAAGTTAATGAATGGTTCAACTTTTAATACAAAAAACCTTCTCAGCACCCCTTCAGGAGTTAAAACATGGTCAGATACGCAGAAAAACGCACACAGCACCACACAAATAAATAATTTCCAGTTACCAGCTGTTGATAAGCTCAACGAAATTAAAGATAAAGGCGGAAATGATACATTGGACGACTCTTTAACTCCAAGAGACAACAGATGTAGCTTAGAAACTCGTGGTAGTATAGTTTGCGAGCTTGAGCTTAGCCGATCCCAAGATACGTCGAAACTTCGATTTTCACCCAAGAAACACGTTCCATACAGAAAAGACTCTGAAAAAACCAAGAAGTTTAAAGATGTGTGTTCTTCATTGATGCATGAAATTAAGTCTATTGATAATACAACAACAATAACACAGAACCTGGCTTTAGTGCCCTTTAAAGACAAAGAGCTATACATTATAAATAGAATAGGCAAGGGTGGATATTCAAATGTTTATAAGGTGTGCTACAATAATGAAATTTATGCCTTAAAGCAGATCAGAGTTGATGACAAGGAGGGCCTGAGCATTTGCATGGATGAGATAGATCTTTTAAAACGACTTAGTAGCTGTGAATTTGTTATCAAAATGATCGACTATGAGATTGGGGATGAAACTGTCAGCATTTTACTGGAGTATGGCGAAACTGACCTACAAAACTTGATAAAATCTGGACCCCTAAACATTTTCTATATCAAATACCTTTGGGAGTCCATTCTTAAAATTCTTGTTGTTGTTCATTCGCATAGAATTGTTCATCGCGACATTAAACCTGCAAATTTTGTGCTTGTTAAGGGAAAGCTAAAAATCATTGATTTTGGAATCTCAAAGAGTATAAAAGGGGATACGACATCGATACTAAATTTTGAAAAGGCAGGAACTCTGAACTATATTTCTCCTGAGCAGTGCTGCGGAGGAAAGGTGAGTAGAGCAACAGACGTATGGGCGGCCGGATGTATATTATACTATATGATTTATGGGAAAAATATTCATAAGAGTAAGACAGTTGTGGATGTTCTAAGGACGATGGCAGAAGAAACTGAAATTGAATATGGATCGGCCGATGCATCGGTTGTTGAAAGTATGAAAGCATGCTTGGTGTATGATTCGAAGAAGAGAGCAAAGCCAGAAGAATTGTTGAAATACTCATTTTTACAAAAATAGATTGAAATAAAAAGACCTGATTTATACTTCAAACCATTAATATTTTTGAAATATTGTCTTCTGTCGTGGACGAATAGCTTAAAAGCTATTTGTAATCTTTTACAGTTACACCCCCTAAAAATACTTTATGTTGCTTGTCTCGGGCATGTATTAATTTATTTAATGTTGATTGAACTGTGTTACTCAATAGTTTTTTGTATGTCAAGCATACCTATGCTCTTTAAAATGTTCTCTTCAATCTCCTTAAATTTTCTATTAACCTCTTCTTTTATTTCAATAAGATCGGTCGCTTCTATTATACTATTCTTGTACAACAACAGTTTATTGAGTAATTTTTGAGAGGCAAAAAAGTCTTTTTGAATATTCTTTCTGATAATTTCCAGCAATTCCTTCACTTCGAGCTTTGTCAATCCCTTTAAAACAAGGTCATGGTCAGTTTTAGAAGTAAAGGACTTGTACAGCACCAAGTCTTTATAAAAGTTGCTTTCTTTTTTCACAACCGGTACTTCATACGACGTTATCGTAGCACTTAGAGTGGATGAATCAGTAGTGGCGTTGAAATGCGAAAGATTAGATAGGAGATGTATTTGAGAATCAGAATCAAGGGCACAGATAAACTTAAAATTGTCTAAAATGGCAATATCAATAAGATTCTTATTAGTGGAGATTGTTTCAAGAAGATTGCCAGTCGAAATGTCAAAAATCAAAATTTCAGTATGTTTGATGCCAACAAGTACATTGCAAGAGGAATCGACAGTAAATTTTGTAATATCAAATGTTCTAAAGACAATGCTATTCATTCCGTTTGATTTTGCTTTGGGTATGTCTCTATTGTATTCAGTGGTGTTGTTGTTACCAATATTGCATCCATTTTCAGCCTTTTTACTGAGACAGTCCTCATGCGAAATGACAGTTAACATCGAATGGTCGTTTATAAAGTACAATTTATCATAGCAGTCAAGACGCCCACTTTTTATACTTTTTGGCAGTTCATACTGGAAAATCACATCCATGTCTAGATTATATTTACACATTGTATTAGAAAACAGTACAGTGAGCGAGTAGTTATCCAGACATGCATCTATTACTTCCTTGCCTAGTGGTACAGGAAGTGCCAACACAACACGTTTAGACACAAGATTCATTACAACGACCTTAGTTTTTGTACCAAAAACACAAAAATCTCTAAACACTCGCACAAAACTACACTTTTGAGTGATTAAATTGTGATATTTACAATTACTGTCAATATAAGACAGTTTTCCCTCGCCATAAATTATAATATTAGGATTTTCTATTTCTGAATTGACGTTGAAGTCTATGCTAAGACGTTCGATTGGAGTTTTGGACTTCAAAAAACCGTTCATTTCATCCCTATAAATGTTCATTTTAAATACTTTGTCATTTGAAACCAACACTACTTCGTTTGGTGTATACTTAAATATCTGCTTTATTCCTTCATTTAAAATCTTCCTGGTCTTTAATATTTTGAGATCATCAAGTGTTAATATTTCAAAAGAGCTGCCTGTTGTAATCAATGCCATATCATTATTGATCATTAGTCCAGAGAAGGCAACAGGTCTTCTATAGATTTCTTTCTTAATTTCGAGATCATAAATAGCCAAACTATCCCCCACAATCACCACTGTTTTGTCTTTAAAGTCTATTCTTCTTATATTCTTTCCAATATACTCTGTGATTTCGAAAATTAGCTTGTCTTTCTTTAGATTGTAAATCTTTATAAGGCTATTATTCATCACCAAGCCGACAACATCCACAACGGATGTCTGAGCCATGGCAATAGCACTGCCAAATGAATATTCAAATATCTTTCTATTTGTGCTGATGTTATACAATTGAGATGATCCGTCCTCAAAGCTAATGAGAATTTTGTTGGTGTAACTATGTGGATGAAAAATATCAACAATTTTACTACCTGAGAAGCTTAGTCTGTAGCATTCCTTTAAAAACTCTTCTTCATATTTAATAGGCCTATTTGTCCCTTTCTCCTCAACAGGGTCATATTTAGCTTCGTGGATGTCTGCTTGATTATCATTAATATGATTGGCTTCTTTACATTCACAAATAATAAGCTCGTAGTCTGATTTTAATATAAAGCTCGATCCAAAAACAAGCATTTTGGATATTGAAATGTTTGGAAATTTGGTTTTCCCAATAATTTCTCCTCTAAATGTCTTAAAGAGTATATCAATACAACAGACATACACAAATGCACCAGATTGCGCAATACATGAAATAGATGGAAATGTAGGGCCAAGGAACTGAAGTCTTAAGCTCTGTAGCTCATATACTGCATATGAGTTGTCAGATGGAAGTAAAAGATATGGTATATCCTTCAACACAGTAATTGAGGGATGGAGGTTCTTCGATGTAAGATTGGTCACTGTTCTATAAAGCTTGAAAGGTGAGTTTTCGGATTTAATACGAAACAGCTCATCTTTTTTGGCATTATTGAACTCATTGTTAAGTTCTGTTGCTGAAATATCCATTTGTGTGGTTTTAGATTTGAAAAATTTTTAAGTATAAAGAAAAGTTGGCAGAACAAGAAAGTTTTACTGGGGCTGATAAAAACGTTTTGCTTTTATGCCTTCGAAGCAAGTCGCGTTTACTTACGGATCTTTAAAAGCTTAAAGGAAGATCTGCAGAAAATTTTTAAATTATATCATTATTGTACAGTAATAGAGAAGGCAAGTGTCAAAAATCTATCTTTGTTATCAACTATAATACCAAATATCCGTAAATCGGAATTGTTAGCAACACACAATCTTTTTTATTGCTAGAGTTTTTTCTTTTTTTATTTTCTAAAATTTTTGCATTTTTAAGTTTTTTACCCCGAAGGAAAAGTATCAATGCTCAAAGCATCCAATATGGTGTTTATGGGATTAATCCCATTGATTGACCTTTTAGTAGAGTGTTTCTATCAGATATTGCTTGTCCTTTCTCTCAACACAAAGCTAAGTCAATACAAAAATTTTTCCAAGCTTATTTTGAAAGAAAAGCACCTCCACCACATCGAGGAAAGCATTTACCATACACTATGTCATCTTTCATTGCATATGGGAATGGCAATTGTCTGTGTTTGGCTGATTGCCATAGCTCTCAGCTCTAGACTGAGATCTTTTGTCTTATGCCACATTTCTTCTATTTTGTATTTGTTCCCAAAATTTCTCAATGTTACGAGCTTTGAGATTTTCTTGCTTGAAATTCAATGTGTATGTGTCAGATGTATTGAGTCTAAGTGGATTTGGAATCTTTTTGTGAACGAATCATCTATTTTAGACTACATTTGGCCTGTTTTTGTACTTCTTATATGGGCCCCCTTTGAAGTTCGTTTTAAAATATTCCTAGAAGAGAGGTTTCATCATCTTGCGCCCATAGTTCTAGGAATAACACATGGAATGGCATGCACAACATTTCCAATAGCCTATTTCCTTGCTATGAAATTGGTTTATCATTCTGTAAAGTCTGAAATTAATTCTTCATTAATTTTGAAAAAACTAGGCTTTTATCACTTCGAAACAGCCTCTAAGCACGTGAAAGTACTGCCCATATCTATGCCTAGCGATCAATTCTTTCTAGTACAAGGCCATATCTCCGATCATAGCAAGGGAATCTATGAGTTTCTGCAGTTCGAAGCTTTTAAATTTGATGGATACGCTTCCATGTACTATCTTCTTCAACAATTTGCAAAAAATTTAATTTTTGCATGTTTAGTGATATACTTTGATAAGAGATTCCTAAAAGTATTCTGTAGCAATGATATTCACCACATTTGTGCTCATCTTCTCACTGAAGAGTACCTAAATGTGGGATTTTCAAGGTATTTATTTTCACCATTCACCTTTGTTGAAAATTACTTTATCAACCAGCATGACATGAAAATCAAAGAAAATGTTGGCAGGGACGTGTCGTCCCTTTCAAACTATTTCTCTTTTCAATTACATAATCACAAAAACATTCATCCGTCTCTTTTTTATAGACTCTTTAATAATGAGACGGATACTATTGAAAGAATTGACAATATTTTAAGAAAATAAAATTAACTGTGATGAGTACACACAATATTAACAGTGCTATTATTTAATTCAAAGATGGATTTTATGTTGTTTAATAGCTAAAAATTTGTGTGTTCTTAAATTAATATGTCTTTTAGACACAAACTAGTAGTATCATTAAGTGGTCATATGGCCTATTAAGGTTATTATTGGCACATTGATATTATGGATAGATAACAGCCTATTTTATTGGCAATGCTTTGATATAACTAAATAAACATCATTAGATAAATTGATTGTAAAAATTTTTCAATGCCATTTTACACTTGCTCAAAGTTGACCTCTCAAGGCATCATAAAAACTATACATGCTTAACAAACTGAACGAATTCTACTCCTGTATAATACCAACAAAAGAAATTATAATGGCTGGAATAGACGAAGCTGGAAGAGGACCAGTTGTAGGCCCAATGGTCTATGGGCTCTACGTAGCCTCTGAAAATGAGATATCACACTACAAAGATTCCAAACTTCTAACACCGGTTGCCAGAGAACACTTTTTCAAAAATATGAGAAACTATTCGTGCTACAAAATACATCCAGCATATATTTCATCACACATGGAAGCAGGCTCAATGAACTTGAATGAAATAGCCAAGGAAGCTGTCATTTACTTACTCAAAGATCTTGTCTCAAAGTGTCCAAATGTAAAAACCGTATATATTGATGGATTGGGAAATAATGAAGAATATAAAAAAACACTAAAGAAGTACTTTAGCCTAAATTTTGTGATTGAAAATAAAGCCGATTCAAAATATCAGGTTGTAAGTGGTGCAAGCATTGTTGCCAAGGTTGTAAGAGATGCAAGTGTTGCACGGTACAACTGCGGTAGTGGATATACAAGCGATCCCATTACAAAGGAGTGGCTTAAATCCAAGTATAATAAATTTTTAGGCTTTCCAGACTATGTGAGACATAGTTGGTCAACGGTTAAAGATATGCTACCATCAAAAAAATCAAGGAAGCTTCAAAAAGAATTTCATGGATTTTACAGTGGATCAAACTAAAACAATAAAGTGAAGCAAAATTAAGCTTTGATCTCTGCTCTATTGTTTTCTCCAATATTACCTCAATGCTATTTTTATTGCCATTTCTTGTTTAGACCTTATTTTATTTTTTATACCCACCCTCATGTCTGACCTTTCAAAATTCAGTGATACTTGTGCTTATTGCTACAAGGGAGTTTTGGATGGAATCTCAGTGTGTTTTTGTAACAATTCCCTCTGCAATGATCATAAAAGCATGCATATATCTAAGTTTGGATGTGATATTCATTATTCTCTCTTTCTTTGTAATGGAAATGTTAAGATTAAATGCAAGGAGGACGTAGGTGATTTAGAAAAAAGAATAAACATAAAAATAAAGAATGGAATGATAAAATCAAATGCATCGAATGAATGTTCTCACATTTATGATTCAAATAATATCTCCTGTGATTTTGATATAAAAAATATAAAATGCCAGGAATGTGAGCTTAGTGAAAATCTGTGGGTATGCCTGGAGTGTGGGTATGTAGGATGTGGGCGTAAACAGGAGGGTATAAAAGGAAATGGTCATGCGTTGAGCCATTTTGAAGCTACTAAAAAAACCAATACAACAATCCTCATCCAAATGTTGTTCTTATAAGTTCCATTAGCGGAGGCAAAGGAGATACATTCTGCTATGTTTGTGAAAATTTTGTACAAAATCCGTTAAAGTTAAAAATATTAGTGAAAAATGATGAAATAAAGACTTTTGATGATTTATCGTCCATAACACACGCATCAGTCAAATCAGATATTCTAGGAATAGTGAATGAAGGCTTAAACTGCTATATCTCCTCTGTTCTTCATTTGCTAAGTGAATCTTTCAAGGACTGTGACCTTTCAGATCACTTTATGATCTGTGATTCAAATCCATCAACCTGTCTTGCCTGTCAGTTAATTAAAATTCTTAATGAAATGAAGATGGTTAAAAATGAGATAAGATCGGTTAGGATAACTGGCCTGCTAGATTGTATTTATGAACAGATGGGGTATTTTAATGCACGAGATCAGGAAGATTGCTCTGAATTCCTTCAAAAGCTTTTAGAAAGACTGGAATGCTTTGAAGAGTGTATGCTACTACCCAAAATTACAGATAGATTTGATTATCAAATAAAGACCGTTATTAACTGTCCAACAAATACAATTCGTCCAGTAAGTGCTCACTGTTTAGAATGCAGCCAGCCTGATATTGTTAATTTAGAAGGCAAAATACTATATACACCTTTTACAAAAAGTATTAAAAAAAGCCTTGAATCTCAAATTGAGTCTAGTAGAATTGCTTGTAAATGTGGGAATGAGACTTATTCTCGGTGTTACTTCTCAAAGCTCTCTGATTTCTTAATTTTGAGTGTTGGAAGATACAAGCATGACGATCAAAAGTGTATTAAAATAGAAGATCCCATAAATTCAAGTGTTTTTGAATTAAAAGATGGTGCAAATAGCACTAAATTTGAAATTATTGGGTGTATTTGTCATAAAGGTAGTGAAATGGTAAGTGGGCATTATACTTGGTGGGTTAAGTACAATGGCAATTTTTACACTGCAAATGACTCAATAATCAGTCCGAGCGATGAGAAATACTCACAAAATGGTAGTTTGTTTTTGCTAAAGGTAACAAAAGAACAGAAATAAACTCAAAATAGCTGATTTGGTAGTGTTCTAGTATAAATTATATTATATTAAAAATGTATGCTTTGCCAGAAGCACCCTTCTGGCCTTCTATCATATTTTATAAACAACTTATAGCTAGAGCAATACAATATAGCTTATAAAAAGTATCTTTACTCATACTCTACGTCCTCTGTGACCACCTTTCTTCCTAGTTCCATCAGCAGCAACTGGTGTAACACATTCAATCCTTCCTATTTTTATTCCAGAAGACCCAAATGTTCTAATAGCAGCCTGGGCTCCTGCGCCAAGGCTCTTTCTTTTGATACCACCTCTGGCCCTGATTTTAAAGTGGCATGCTGTAATACCGCACTTCATAGCTCTCTCGGCTGCATCCTGGGCAGCTTGAATGGCTGCATATGGAGATCCTTCGTCTTTCTTAGACTTAACCTTCATGCCACCACTTACTTTAACAAGAGTATCCCTACCAGTAATATCCGTAACTTGGATAATTGTGCAGTTCTTGGTGCTAAAAATGAAAACTATTCCAACAGTGTGGTCCTGCAGTGGATTTTTTATTTCGGCTCTTGCACCCATATGTGCACTTGTTTCTTCTGTCTCAGTAGCCATTGAGGGTATAAAAATTTTCTAAAAATTTTTCACTGAGTGTAGTATGAATGATTTTTATGAATGAAAAGACAAGTAAATTAATGCACTATGCACAAGTAATGTATGCATCAAACATACTTCTATATAGTGCATTAATTTACTTAACAAAGTATTGCCCATCTAGTCAAATGAAAAATCCTAAGCTTGAGTATCTGCTTAGACTGGAAGACATTTATCATTCCAAAGAAGCAGGTGAGTTTATAAATTCCAAGATAGCTTTGTGCTTTGATAAAGAAAATCCAATATTTTGCTATAAATGTTCTAGGACTTTCATTTTGAAAGTAAATTGCACAGGAAGACTTGAAAATGATAAATACACAATTACATGTAAAAAATGCAAGACCAAAACAACGCTCTGTGACAAAAATGGGTATAATAAAATATAATGGATTGTGAGGATGCTTTTGATTTCACAGTACAATACCTTTCTATCAAACAGAATTACACACGTACTGTTAAAATAAAGATATTGCCTTTATTTTTAATATTATTTATTGATATGTAATAGATTCAGTTGAATAATCCTCGTACGTCCCTTCTTCTATTTCATCTTCTGATTCCAGAATTCCGTTTGCTCTTTCTCCTTTAATGAATGGATGGCTAAGTAGTTCAGAGACGGTAGGCCTAAGCTCAGGCTCAACCTGCATACATCTTTTTACAAAATCCTTAAGTTCTGTGCTGGAATTCCTACTGAATACAAATTTGTGGTTGTTTCTATCTTCTGGGTTATCTGTCCTCTTTTTTAAAAATCTTCGATAGCTAGGCAAATCCTTTTCAAACCCATCCAAGTAGAATGGTGTGTACTGCAATGAGAGGAACCAGCAAATGGCTCCCAAGGACCAAATATCACTTTTAAGTCCATGCTCATTTTTGAATACAACTTCGGGTGCCTTGTACGGATACGTTCCGTAGTTCTTCCTAGGAATTACAACTGATCCTGTATTAGGCATAAGTTGAGAATATCCAAAATCTATCAACTTATACACTATTCCCTTCTCCGTTGCTTTTCCCATTATATTTCCTATTTTCATGTCCAAGTGTGCAATGCTGTGAGAGTGCATATATTCCAAACCCTTCAACACATCCGTTAGTATTTTTCTTATTGTCTCCTCATTCCCATTTACCGTTCTTTGTGAAATCTTAATATCTAAAAATTCGAAGAATATCCAAATAAGTATCTGCTCACTCCCATCTTCTACGGTTCTCCTGGTCCTGTACGTTTTGATTGTTCTACAAAGATATGGAGAAGACAAGCACTTAGACATGTAGTCTTCATTTAGTTTATTAGAAGGATTATATATAATCCTCTTTAAAATGACATTTGGGGTTACTCCTGTGTATTTAAACACAGCAGTAGTCAACGTCATTCTTATGGGCTCTAATGGATGTTCTGGTGCCAGTTTTCTGAACTCTTCATTCTGCTTTTCTCTAGTTTTGTATTTTAAAATTCTATCCATCGTGTTATTTATGTATTCCGTGACTCTCATGCTTAGCTTAAGCTCCCCTGTTTTAAAAAATTTTAAAACAAAAAATGTGAGGATAAAAGTGGAAAGAATGATATAAAATATCCTCAGTTTTCTGTAGTTTCTTTTGTAGGTATATATCATAGTTTGTATGTTATTTCTGGCCAGGACATTCATGGGGGATACAAAGTTTGAATTTTTAGAAAATATGCATAAACAAAATAAACAAAGGTGTACTGTAATATAGCGAATTATAGGCAGAAAAATAAATTTATATAGAATTTATGCGTTACTAGCATTGTAATAGATGAGTACGGCTGGTATATTTCTTATTTTATATATTATTTAATTTATACTTTGATATTACTTTTGACAGCCTTAATGGCATACACCTTGTCAAGTTTGTTTTATTCACTACTGGTATGTATGTTCTACACAGCCATTGTACTATTCGTGTTAAAGACAGACTATTGCATGGATGCATTTTCTAAAATAGAACGGCTCACAGTGATTGATTAAAACGTACATGGATGAATTTGACATTTTAACAGTCTAATGTGAATATATTGTACTATGACTGTTAATTAAATAGTACTAGAACAGTATATTCGAGAATGTCTACTGTTGTGTGCGGTTGTTAATTTGTTTTTCATTCTACCCATAAATAAAACTTATGCATTTCTGTCCTTTCTGTAACAATTTTCTATTGCCAGAACATCAACAAAGTGTACATTTAATTTGCACGACTTGTCCTTACTTCTACAAATTGAATGTAACACTCTCATTCACTCAATCTAACACAGTAAAAATCATTGAAAAAGTACTGAGAAAAGAACAAGATTTGAAATATGCAAATAAGTGTCAGATTAAATGTCAAAAGTGCTCCAATGGAGAAGCATTGTTTGTAGAAATACAAACAAGATCAGCTGATGAGCCTATGACAATATTTTATCAATGCACAAAGTGCCATCATAACTGGAAAGAGTGAATGGGAAACCTTATTTGTCTTCCACATATGTACTGGTATTATAATATTGATTGATTTAATAAATTATACTTGAATATAATTAAGTTGATTGAATGTATATTAAGCTTAATTAGAGTTTTGCCTTGCTATTACTATTTATTTAATAAAGTGTATTCATATTAAGCTATGTGGCTGTTCAGGTATAAAAAAAACTTCTTAAATTCAACCAAATCCCCCTTCGTTCTTCTTACTGTAATGACACTACTTCCATTAATTTCCTGTATTATTATTTCCCCCATCAATTTATTTCTTTTTGTATCCGTTGTTGAAAAAAGTATTCCGTTTGAATTCCTTTGGCATATAACAGCCATATTTTCTAAAAGACTTAAAATAGAATTGATTGATGTCTTACAGTTTCCATCCACATAAAATCGATAAAGTGTGGGTTGATTAATAGATTTGACAGGTTGAGAAATGTTAATGTGGGATTTCTTATTTAAAATACTACATCCTCGGCTATTCAAAATATCTGGTTGAGTGTAATGTAAATCTATGACTGCACTCTCAACATCGTTCAAAAAACTAGGATCTTTACACTTCATCTCAGTAAAAGAGTCGATGAGACTGGTTGAATGTCTTACCCACTGGTCCTGTTCAATTGTTTTTATTGCAATCCTTTTAGATTCACTCTTTAACATACCCTCAATCAATCTGAGAGTAGGTTCCCTAATTCTGTTAAATGGATCATAGCAATGATATTTCATCTGCGTATATGCAACATATCGTTTATCCGTTGGTGATGCTATTGTCCAAGGCAATTTTCCAGTAAGAATATTTACCAGGGTAATGCCCATTGAAAATATGTCAGCCATTTGCCCATCATAATCCCTTTTCAAAATTTCAGGGGCCATAAACTCAGGTGTTCCAGCTATTGTCTTTAATCTTCGATATTCTTTGAGTTTAAACATTGTACTATGACCAAAATCACATAATCTTATATTCCCCTTTCTATCCATGAGAATATTGTCTGGCTTTATGTCTCTGTGGCATATTCCATTTGAATGGAGATATTTTACTCCCTCCAATAGTTGAACAAAGATCATGTGCCCTATTATTGGATCAAGACCTATTTCTGGAATGATAAGATTTCTTAAATTATATTCTACATACTCCATTATTATGTTGAAAGAAGTAGCATTGTCAAAGTGAGTGATGTACTTCACAATGAATTTGTGTTTTAATGCTTTATGTATAGATATTTCTTTAAGAGCAGTGTGATTACTGTTGGTATGTGGATTGTCGATGCTATTTGCTTCTTTGCTATTGTTGATGTCCTTCTTTAAGACCTTTATTGCACATATTTCACCGTTGAACAGAATCTTTTTTACAGAAGAGGGTTCAGCCCTATCCATGGGCAAGGATGTAAAAAAATCAATACGATAATGTAGTTGTTATATACTACAATATATTTTACAATAAAACTTATATGACAGATTTATATGTAATCAAATTATGGTTAAATAACCATAATAACATATCAATCGTACGAAGCTAGTAAACAATATATTTTGTTTATATAAACCATGAATGCTTATCATTATTAATAATCCTTATATCGTCTTATTAAAATGGCCATCTTTGTAGCTGCACTTCATTGTCTTGTTTGTAAAATAAAATTTTTGCATACCCTAATGCTAGAATTTATCCTTCAAAGTAATAAGTCTAACTTCGAAAAAATAGAAGAACTTAAAAAGATAACCACTGAATCCTTTTTTCTTGATGTTCTGGAAAGTCCAGGTGCATTTTTGGATGAGATTATACCTTTTGCTGCTCAGATTTTTAAGGATCTTCCTCCTGATTCTGCTATGACTTTTGGTCAATCAAATGACATGAGAGTCTTCTTTATGCGTCTACTTTCGAAACTTAAATACAAAAATTATTCTAATTCATTCCTTTTGGAACTTATCTATGAATTGATCCAAACAGAGAATATTTTTAATAGGTATCTTTCTCTGAAAATATTATTTCCTCTGTTAGATTCTGACATTCATGTAAATTATGAAAGGCATTTAAAATGCCTCAGCTCCTTTTTTAGGAATGAATTACCTGTTTCAGATGGATTGGATAATTCGAGGTGTGAACTTGGATTCTTTGCTGTTTCTGAAGTCCTGAATTATTTAAACAGTTTTCAAAAGAAGTATAATTTACCAGTAGAATATTACGATGAGATAATTTGCTTAATGGCCTCGGCTCTACGACTATATTTTACTCAAAAACACATTGAAAAGTTCTGTTTAAGCAAAAAAGTTGTCTGTGAGTTTTGTTCGATGGGAATCAATCTAATTAAGTTTATCAATCTCGTAAATATTCCCATCAATCACTTTATATGTGCCTTGATTCCTGATCTAAGTTACACTCTTGTGAATATATCGCCCTCAGATTGCTATCATCTTAGAAGAGATATTCTTAAAACAATACTCAATACATTCCATGTTAGAAAGGATTTGGTGTACAATATTGACAGATACTTCCTTAAAAATCTTTATCTTCACACTGACTATGAGCCTTTGCAAATACTCAATCTGTATTTTCTTTCTGAATTAGTTAAAGGGTGTGTTGGCATTTCCAAGATCGTTCACTTTGAGTTTGATCAACGTATCTGTGAATATCTTCCTATTAGAAAAGCTCTTCCTCTTCTTCATTCTTGTATTTATGCGCTGAGCATAAACTTTACCAATGCGTTAAAAGTGCCAATGGAACAGAATGAAATGAGAATGATGGTTAATAGGCACATTAAGATAGCTCACAAGATATACACGCTCTTACATTTGCCCATTAGCAATGTTAATAACAACATTAATAATGATTTTATAAGTCCATCTGAATACTTCCATAAAGATATAATGGCATTATATTCTGAAGATGATGACGGAGTTTCAAATAGATTTATCGAGTATCTTAAAATTCTCATAAAGTCTTGTTCCTTTCTACAATTACAAAATAAGCCTTTTGAAAGGGAGCAGATTATCATTTTAGGTAATCTTCTTCTCTTTCCTCTAACCAGGGAGCTACCCTGTACTGATTACCTTTATCTTTTTAACGAGATACATCCTGAAAGTCTTGAAAAGATCATTCTCTGCATTGTGGACAGTCTATTTATTAAGTATTACTCTCAGGTATACTCTTGGGTTGTACTCCTCAATGTTCCTGAAATTAGCTGTATCTTTATTAAAGCAGCCAATGCTCTTATTCATCATGATATTACTCAGTCTCAATTCAGATCTTTAGATTTTTATCAGAAGATTTTACCTTTGGCCTATTGGTTCTTCAAGATTGATAAGAAGTACATCAAGTCTGAATTTTCAGAGTATTTTTCTGTTATATATGATTATCTCCTTCATACTGATCTTAAAGATATCAGTAATAATGCTAATGATTATCATTTAACCCTAAGAGATGCGGTGGGCCTATTGAATACTATGTTTCTTGAAGTTAAAAACTGCGATATTGCTTATACTGGACTATATTTCATCTATAACTACTTTGAGGTAACGGTAAAGGAGCTTTATAATGCATACACCCTTACATTTGATACATTTTATTTAGAAGCACTTTTTAATATTCCTGTGAGCCTAAATCTTCTTGTAACAAAGTATGCTGTACTCCTCAATGCCATGTCTGCGGGTCTTCATGCTAATAAAAAGATTAGGGATATTATAATAAAGTATATCGAATATATTGTAGAATTTGATAGTGAAGAAGGTCTCATGGATAACCTCCTTCTAAATATCTATGGCATTCTACAGTCCAGTTTTCAATCTTCAGGCACAAGCGATATGAATTTTTCGAAGGGGATCAATGTATTTTCTAGGATTAGTAATAGACATAGAGAGGTCTTGACTTGTGGTACACTACACGAGCATATTCCTGATAATTCTGAGAATATTCTATGTTCAATAAGTTTTGGTGGGAGTAGAAAAGAGGAATGCATGTATGTTGAAGATAGTCATTATGTAAAGCAAGACATAGAAGCTGTATTAAAGATACTCAAAACTAAAGAGGCTAATAATATTGATAATGGTAATTTAAACAATATAGATAGTATTAAGGATAGCTTGAGTATCCCGTGTAATAAGTTGAGAAGATTGAATATCCCTCTTGTTGCTGGCTATGAATTTATTTATGAGTATGATATTAGAAAAAATCCTTATCAAGGATCCTCAAGTAGAATTTTAAAAGCATATGACATTGACCTAAAAACAGTCAGTCCTGATTTTTGTGAATATGTCAAAGATTCCCTTATTAGATATTTACTGGATCTTCTTAAAATGGAATATTCCAGCAGCACTGAGTTTAACAATAGCATTGATGACAATGATAATACAAGTATTAATGACAATACAACTAATGCCATTAACGATATGACTGTTATCTATCAGTCTGCTTCTGATGTGCTTTTTTCACTTCTTCTATTAGGAGAGAAGCATAAAAATTTATCTGTTATGGATTTTATGAAATGGTTTATCTTCAACTGTTCTAGCCTATTAAGAGATTCCAGAGTGCTTTATGATTTCATTCCTGATGGTCTTATTTATGCACCCAATATTACTTTTACGCTTCTTGAGTTTATGCAAGAAAATGTTTCTTTTTCAGCCATCATTCTAAATACGATCTACGCATTGATTGATTTTATTTATTCTAAGAATGATTTAAAAAGTGACAGGGCAATTGATGTTCTGAATAATCTTGTTGAAACCAAGATAGTTCTTTATGCGTATCTAAATAATAACGAATGTAATGGGTTTAATAATAACTTCACTGACCAGAAACTAACTGATAACAGTTTAAGCAATGCCCTTGGCAATGGCAGCCCTAAAAGTGCATTTCTCATAGATATGTTTTGTGCTGTATTGTTTAAGACCAGGAAATGCATCTCTTTTAGAGTATATCAACTATCCTTGAAAATTACTCAGGAAATTGGAAAAATACTACTTCAATCTGAAAGTCCTGCATCATCCCTCTTCAGGAATACTTTGGAGAAACCAACAAAATCTGAATGTTTCTATTTCAAAGCATTGGTTATTGAAATGTGTTCTTTTTTTAATTTCAGTTGTCCTATAGAACAGATACCTGAAATGGATAAAAGGTGCATTTTAAGAATTCTTGAAATCAATCCTAATAGTCTTCTAAAGATAAACAACCTTCCGACTGTTGCTGAAAACTTTTTAAAGAGTATTGACAAGAAAGATACCTACTCCATCGAAAAATATCTTGGTTTTCTATTTAAAATGAAGTACTCTCGATCTTTATTTAATGATTTACTTTCTCCTGCTAAGAAATATCTCCCAGCTATTGCTGTCCTCGAAGGATTTTCCAGTGAGGATGCGAGACATAAATTCGTTGAAAGTGTCAATAAGAATGGGAACTTTCAATCTCAGAATCCTAATTCTTTTAGAATATTCCGAAATCTCTTCCATAAATGTAATGTGTCAACTGCCATCAAAACAAATTTTATTGAAGTTTATGCATCTCAGACAAAAGAGCATCGTTCAGTTATTCTTGATATTATTTTAAACTCCCTAGAATATGATCTGCCTTCCTTTGATTTTCTTATTTCTAAGCTTATTGAATTGCCTCTGCTTAGGAATGATGGTCTTGTTGGTCTTACCCAGCAGGGTATTGAAATATTTAACATTCTCTCCATTCGTATTTTTGAACAGCCCATGGCCATTCAGGAATCTCTTATTATGTATCTTATTGAACATATACATAATGACTTTGTGTATCAATTTGTAGACCTTTGTATTCCTATTGATAACGATATTGCTCATGTTCTTACTAACTTCCTAAATGACTTTTTAAATAACAATCATTCATACAGAGAGCAGTTGGTTTTTTCCAAGGCAGCATACAATATTCTCCGATATTTGAGAAGAAGAAAGTGTAGATTCAATGACAATAAAGCAGTACTCTTAGTTTACAGGGACTTGCACAGCATTGAGAATGAAATTGAAAGTCTTGTTAATTGGTATTTCAAGAACTTTTCTGTGGAAGATATAGAGCTATTGTACAGAATCAACACTGGGTTTTTAATCACTTCCGAGAGCTTACTTTTGAAACTAATAGGAGTGGAATCTCTTTCTACTCGTAACTGGATGATTGATTGTTTTCACAAACAAAATATAAGCTTAATCAATACAAATAATATTAATGCAAGCAATAACAATTTAAATGATGTGGACGTATCTTTCTTAAAGAAATGTGTTGCTTTTTACTTGAGATCAAAGGGTATTCCAGTTCCAGATCCCCTCCTTCAGAACAATTTCAAAGTCTTCGAGAAATTCTCAAAGCCTGATTATATCTCTGAACTTCCGAGATTCTCACCTGAGACTATCTTTGTTTATGCAGGGGAGCAAATAGAATCTTCTGAATCTGAAAATAGTCTATTTTTTGAAGAGGAGAGTGTTGAAAGTGAAAGCATAATTTCATCTAAAAGCAATGCTATTGATGATAAGAAAAGCAATAATGGTGGTGTTAACAATAGTAATGAAAAAAATAATGTCATTAATGATAAAAGCATTGATGTTATAGAACATAAGACATTCATTAATCGTTCGGTACCAAGTCATAGCATTATGTTTCCTTCCAATTCAAGCATTTCACTCACTGATATTTCCTTTTTGTTACCCTACTTTTCTGATAGTCTCCATTTAATCATTGACTTGTTCTGTGATTTAAAAATATTCTCAAAGGAACTCTTAGAAAAATGCAAGGAAATCGTTCATAATAGCGTTTCTATTCGTTATTCTGCTTTGTATTATCTTTGCTTATTTGAACCTTCCATTGAATATTTCGAAAGTATTTTTAAATTGAACTATCAAGAAAGGAAGTATGTGTTTCCTTCTTTACAGTTACTCGTAGAAAGGTTTGGAGTAAGCTCATTTGTTAACTCAATCAAGACCGTTTTGAGGAGCGAAATGAGATTTAGAACAATCAAGTACATTTTAGTTCCATTTTTATGCTCCAATTTGGAGTTCTTAGAAAACTCTGAAATTCTCTTTGAGCTTTGTGTATTCTCTCATAGACTGGTTAGAATTGGATATGTTGATAGGAGTTTAATTAAGATTATTCTAAGTTCAAATAATGTGTCAGACAGATTTAAACAGGAGTTGAGTACTTTAATTGCTATTCAAGAGATAACCAATAATAAGGCTTTTATTGGTAGTCATATCAGTACTAATGTATATTTAAGGAACAGTACTCATATTAGCCCTGCTGGTGTTACTATTACCAACATTCATGACACTAACAATATCGTTGTTGGTGTTAACTCTTTGAATCTAAAGCTGCTTCAAGAACTAAACAGTATCTATCTCTTAGATCTCCTTGACATTGCTCTTTCTCCTTTTTCATTAAGCTCCCCCTCTTGGTTTACTGATATTCTCTCCTGCTCATCCTTTTAATAGAACCATTCTTTCTTCTATTTTCTACAATAACCTTGAATATACTCTTTCCAAGAATGTCATCGCCTGGTTGGCTCTTCCTGTTTCTATTTATCTAAAATCTTCTTTGAATAATCAAATGTCAATTATTGAGCTATTCGTTCATTTTTCTTTAAATTATTCTATGGATAAGTTAAAGACTAAAGCCACTTTCTCTTCTACAAATAGTTTAGAAGCCCAAGCCGCTTTCTTTATGGATGATCAGATATTGCTATCCTCCCTTGACAATTTGGTTAGATCAAAATATCCCAACACTCTTAGATTTAACTCAGTATTCCCTTCTTTAATAAGATATGCTCCCACCAAGATATGCTCCTTTGTTTCAAATAACCTATTTGATAATGACTTTACCTATCCACCTTTGTTCGATAATCTTCCTTTTATTTTTGAAGTGTGTGACCCTGAACTAGCTATTTCCTTGTGTATGAAAAAGCCCTCCAACATTCCCGTGGATACCTTTGAATTGAATGTCCTTCATCTCTTTAAGACTGTGCCATTTTCAATTGATATCCTGAAAAGACAATTCTTTTCAGGACTTTTATCCTCGAATAGGATTACTCGCATGTGCTATTTGGACATTCTATTTAACCACACACCTTCCGATATATTCAATCTTATACAATACATATACGTATTTAACTATAGCAATATTGAAGATCCTCAGATAGAATACTTCATAACTGTATTACTTTACAATGCACTTAAACCAAGCCACAAATCCTTTTACTACAGAGGTGGTACCCCTCATCATAGATATAGCAATGTAGACAATACTATTATGGATGTCAATAGTGAGGTTGATAATAGCACTATGTATCTAAATGCTAATCTAAGTAATACTGTTGATACTACTGTAATGTATCCCTTATCTAATATTTTCACTGATAGATCCTATCATATTGCTTTTGACTCTTTCTTTCTTTCAAAACATAATTCTACTGCAATAGAAGTATTGCTTACAGGTATATTTGGTAATATGACACAGAATAATCTCTTATACCTCCTCGATATCTTTAATACTCACTTTGAATGTTCTTTTAGAATAAGGCTTCCTTTTATTAAAGCATTCCTTAGTGTAGGATTATCTGTGAATGACTGCAGCCTTTACTTCAATCCTGAATCTCCCTCTCTTAAATATTATCAATTGAATGACAGAGAAATGTATCTTGGACTGGTCAAAAGCAACTCTGGAATAAGAGAGATTAAGAAGTTAGTGGATATGTGCTATAATGAAAATGTTAACAGTACAGATGTTTTTCAGTTCTGTGTAGACACTCTTAAGAAGATTGAGTCTAGACAAGCTAGTTATAAAATGGAGGATGTGAGCATAATTGAAGGGGAAATGAGAAGAATACTCCAGGAGAATGGTGTGTACCTACCCAACAATAATATATCCAATAATGTTTATAACAGCATGTACAATAGCAACAGATACAGCATTGTGTCATCCAATAGCAATAACCTTACTGTTGGTCAGTATTTCTATTCGTCTTTAGAAATCCCTTCTGAGTTTGATTTTATTGAATCCAAGTTCCTAAAAATCTTAGACACTATTCAGTTATCCAATACTGATAATAAGAGTATATTGGAGGATGTTAGGAATCTAATAAGCTCCTTCTCTTTGATATTATCTATTCCTAGAAATACTGCCCTGTTTTCTAAATTACTTATGTTCTGTTCAATTGCCTCTGAGATTGTTGAATCCTTAATCATTATTAAGGATAACCTTACTGAGTCGATTTATGGCAGGTTTAGAATGTGGATGATAAGACATCCTTCATTCTTCTCTTCTCTTATTGATTGGAGTACATTTATGAAGTGGAGATCCTTCATATTCACTAGGGCCTTAACTGCTGTTTCTGATAATGACAAGAAAAAGGTAAGTAGTGAGCTATGTAAACTAAACTGTATATATGCTATGAAAACGTTTAAGGAAAAGCTATATGGTAAATCATGTTCCATCCTCAACGAGGTTACTTCCATAACGACAGTAGAGATGTCCCAGAATATGCAAAGGATACTCTTAGATTTAGAAAGTCTATTTCACCTTAAGGATTACAATACAATGGTATCTCTGATTAACTCTTTAAACATAGCTAAGTTTTCAAATGAAGAGAAGAGTAGATTGTATTACTGGGCTTACAAAGCATTAAAAAGAATGGGAAAGAGCAGTGATGCTGAGAAGTATGGCTCTTTGAGTCGTAAGCTATTTGAGATCATTGAAAATAAGAAGGAAGACCTTGAATTACTAAAGGAAAAACTAAAGCTAAGAAACACACAAGAAAAAAGTATAGACAACCTTTCCAGCAACGGATTTTTCACTCTTCTTTCTTCAATTTCTGGCTCTGATTTTGAACAAGCTTATATTTCTAAGCTTATTGAAATTATAAATGAAATGAGTGTTGATGAGAGTAGAACCTATGTTTTGGAATTGTTGAAATTTCCCAATATAAGCTCAACTGAATTAAGCAATCTTTCACATCAGAAGCTGTATTTCTTTATTCCTCAGATTGAGAAAAGTGTTGGTGTTGAATTTTTATTATCAAAGAATCCATTGCTAAAGAGTTCCTATGAGTCAGTTGCCATATTTGATAAGCTTCTGTTATCCTCTAAGTATAATGCCAACAATAACGGTAATATGAGTATATTGGATAGCATGAGATTGGAAGTTAATGGTATTCTCGATGGTATTGTTAATTTACAATCTGTGAACTTAGATAATGTTAAGTCATTGGTTAGTGGAATCTTCTCTTCTATTTTAAACTCCCATTTTGGCTATTCCATTCATAGATTTGAAAGAAATGTCACTTCTGTGTATGGCTTCAGAAAGGACAGTTCTATTCACAGATTTGATAGGGACGTTCCTCTCCTTGGTGAGTTTGCAATCCTTCGCAGTAAATATAATAATATCAAATTGATGGAATATATCGAAGATTTCCACTCGGATATTTTCTATGTAAGACTCTCGGATGGCTCCCTTTCAAAAATTACTACTCATCTTACTGACAGTAACTTCTCCTCTTCTACACTTTCTTCTTCCATGTTACAGTTCATGGAGCTTTTTGATTCTTGCATAAAGAATCATTATCTTGAACGGCTGGGATTCAAGTTTATTTCAATTCCTACTGTCAAGTCCAACAATATCTTTTATTCTGTTCATAATTCAATTGATTATTCTGTTGAATGCCTTTGGATGGGTCGTCTTTTAAAGGATGGAACCCCCCTTCATTCGGTATTTACTGAATATCTCACTAGCAGACAATTTAAATCCCCTCTTACTGCATTCTGTGATTCTATCCAACTTTGGAAAAACACTCTCAAAAGAGAATTACTCAGTTTCATTCCTAATTATAATGATTTCTATGTTTTTAAACGCAACTTCATCAATTCCTATGGCTCCATCATTTGCTTCTTTTATCTCTTTGGAATTAACTATACTCCTTATGAAAATCTCTATCTTGATCCTAGCGGAAATTCGTTTATGCCACTCTGCATAAATGATTCTTTTAGAATCTCAAGAAAGTTCTATTTTAGACCATCCCTTCAAGTTATATTTGGAAATGAAGGTATTAATGGGCCATTGAATATGTTTTTAAGTGAATTCTTAAAGATTGCAAGTGCTGAGAATATTTATGAAATAGCACGTTTCTTTGGAATTGAGCTTAGAAATAGTCTAGCCAACTGTGATATGCTCACTGATAATGGGATATCAAAGGAGAAGGAGTTGAATGTGTCTTTGATACTTGGAGAAATGGTTGATCCTAAAGCGGGTGTTGTACTACCCCTCTCTTATATGGCCTGGATGTAAAATATTATTGAATGCTTAAGCAATATAATATTTGTTTAACCCAAGCAAGCTATTTAAACTTTTTGCTAAAGCAATCTTTATATAAATAAGCTATCTGCCATGCAGTCAGTCTTTGTTGAAGGGTGTGATTCTGTTGAGATTTTCTGCAAATGAGCACTATTTGATTAAATTTTATAACTATGATTGTCAAACATGTCAAAATTAAACATCTTTAGTAAATTTTAATCCTAATTTAACTGATATTTAATTGCTAGATTCAATATTACATACATGCTTGTATTCAAACTAGTGCTTATCAGACTATAAATCCTATTTGTTCTTAAATATAGATCCAGATTCACTAGCTTCTATAAAACTAACGCTTCTTTCTCTTCTTTCTGGCTTTTTATGCTCGGGTTGTGTGATACTTGAAACAATCGAGTGTTTCAAAATTCCAAGTTTGAATTTGTTTGGATTGTGATGATGTCTACCTTTCATTCTAGCATAAAACAATCTATGATATTTATAATAATCCATTGTTTATGTAGATAATATATTTATATTTAAGCTTAAACGAGTGATGTCTCCTTTAATATAGGTTGAGTTATATTAATTTGTACCACTTTGTTTTCTTACTCTACATAATTTCTATTCTTATTCTACATTGTGTATTTGATATTGCTTTTACTCTTTTATATGTTCTACTTTTTTCTTATTTTTTTTATCCCCCAAAATGAATGTTTCCAACGTACTTGAATCTTTTTTGCATACTTTAAATGGGATGGGAGAATTCTTGGAGAAAGTTTCCGGCATAAAATGGTCCAACATACGTAACGGAACTTGGTCAAAGTTCGAAAATGTTATCAATGAGTTCCAAGAGTTTCAGCAAATTTTATATGAGTTCTTCAAAAATGAAGGGATTGGTGCTTTCAAAATCATTTTTAGCAATTTAGAACAATCATGGGAATTTTTAATCCTCCTTCTCATTAATTTCCTTGTTTTACTCTATGCCTGTCATATTGCTGTTTCTGGAATTAGGTCAAGGAAGTCTGTCACACTCTTTCCAATTGTTGCATTCATTGTTTATTTGGTTATTGCTCCTCAAAAATTGTCCTTCATCTCTTCTTTTGAAAACTTCATTGAAAACCTGTTGAAGGAAAAGTATCCCAAACTGGCTGAAGTTGTGCTTGATTTTGACGTTCCTGTCTTACTCTTTTCAATGCTCATTGCATACTTGCTTAGTTGCTTTTATTCTTTCTGCAAATACATTGTATTTGTATATATAACCATGTCTATTTGGAATTTGACTATCCCTAGCAGTGCAGCTAGCTCTCATTATCTCTTCTTCTTTCTAATATCCACCCTTCTGCTTCTTGCATACCTCAAAATGTTCCACATAGTTGAAATGATCTTTCTGTCTATTCTATTTGCACTTACGAGTAGTTTTATATTCATTCAGTATCTTGGTCTAGTCGTTGGCAAAAACGAAGTATTAGATCTTGTGAATAACATCTTTTCCTTTACTATCGATTTTGGTGATAAGCTTACATTAATATTCGTGACACTAAGCGTACTGAGCTTATTGTGGCAGTATTTAGTTTTAAATGAGAAAACCCCATCGCATTATGGCTTTAGACCAGAATGCTCAATATAATTCATCTATGCAGTATGTTTAGCAATAATTAAAAAGATTTTGATATACTTTCAGATAAAATGCCTTTGTTTAATGTCAAAGCAGTTATGCACTTTCCACGTTCTATTTAAAATTAATTTTCATTACTAACTAACTAATTTTAATATTTATTAGAAGTGTGGTGTAAAATATTTAGTTCAAGATTTTCGGAAACACCTGTGAAATAGTTCAGCGAGTAAATAAAAGTAAAAGTTGATGCTTTTTTGTATTTTATCATGTAAGATCATTGTTTGTAAGCGTAATACATTTAATAATATAACATTAAATTACTATATTTGTACTTGACGGGTTTCTATCTTTGTCTTTTCTATTTTAAAAATTTAAAATCCATGGATGGCAAGAAGCTGCCGTATGAACAGTTAATGTGGAAAAGCATAAATAAGACCCGTGAAAAGGTGCTGAATCTTCCCTTTCAGACACAGAATGAAAACAAGTCTCGGAGCTCAGTCAAGATTGAAAAGAATGATCTCCAAGTAGAGGACAGCAAAAACATTACAACACCATTCAAAGTAAAGATATCCTTGAATAAGAATTGCAGAGTTCTTTTGAAGCCTTCAAATAAGCTAATTGCTCTTGTCTTATCTAAACTTCCCCGTTCTAGCTACGATACAAAGTCAAATGAGTGGACGTTTGATGTTGAATACTACGAAGAAGTAGTAAAAGAACTGGTCAAGAGCAAAATAATATTTGATAAAATACCACAAGGAACAATAACTTTGGCAAAAAGAACATACAAAAATGATTCTTATGATTTGCAAGGTGGAATATATGATATTTTAATGGCTTTTCAACGTGAAGCAGTAAATTTTGCTATTAATAGAAATGGAAGAATCCTCCTGGCAGATGATATGGGACTTGGAAAGACTATTCAGGCATTGGCTATCGCCAATTATTACAAATTGGAGTATCCCCTCTTGATTTTATCACCTGCTTCTCTGTGTTACAATTGGCTTGATTCAGTGCAACGATTTTTAAGCGAAGAGGCTTGTATAATCAGAGAAAAAACTGATTTTGGATGTAGAATAGCTATCATGAGCTATAACCTTGCAGTGAACTTCATAGATGTACTTAATACATGCAAGTATGGCGTTATAATATGTGACGAATGTCATTATTTGAAATCTATGAATTCAAAAAGAACAAAATTACTTCTACCCTTACTCCAGAAGTCCTCCAGGCTTATTATGATCTCAGGTACTCCAGCTACAAGCAGACCTCTTGAGCTATATCCAATCATCTGCGCTTTAGATAGGGGTCTCTATCCATCATTTCAGGTATATGGATCCCGTTATTGTGATGGAAGAAAAATTGGTACATTCTTTGATTATCGGGGATGCAGCAATGCAGTAGAGCTATCAGCTGTCATTGAAAAAGCATTTATGATAAGAAGAGTGAAAGATAATGTACTTAACCAATTACCTAAAAAATTCCGTCGACAGATTTTCTTGGATACTAGAGCATCTGAAAGCACAACACTGAAGAAAGGTGAATTATTTGGTGATAATTTAGATACTCGGATAATGCAAGAATACAATCAAGCCTCCATTATTAAAAGAGAGCCTGTTATAAAGTACATGGAAGGTATAATAGAGAAGAAAATTAAATGTATTGTATTTGCTCACCATAAAGAGATGCTAGATGCACTTGAGAGTTTTTGTGTGGAAAAACAAATAAAGTATATAAGGATTGATGGAGCCACACAGTCTACAAAGAGACAAAATTTGGTAGACATGTTCCAAAATGATGAGAATATAAGAATAGCAATCCTAAGCTTGACTGCTTGTTCGACGGGACTGACTCTTACCTCGGGCAAAGCTGTAATATTTGCAGAGCTGTATTGGAATCCGGGAACTATGTTACAGGCAGAGGATCGTGTTCATAGGATTGGACAGTGTGATAATGTTGATATTCACTATCTTGTGGCAAAGAATACAATTGATGAAATGGTATGGCCTAAACTTCTCAAGAAACTGACTGTTTTAGAGAGTCTTGGTATTAGTAAAAATGAGCTAAGACACGTAAAAGGAACAAATGTAGACGAACCAGTACAACAAAGACTAGAATTTAAGAGAATAGATTAAGAAAGAACATGCACTGATGTATTTATTTAAAAGTTGAATTGTATTTAGAAGTAGCATTTAAAGTGAGGTGTGTGTATTGAACGTTATATATAATTATACTAATTCATTCTAGGTCATGTTTGCCCTACTTCAATTTTTAATTGAAGTGTTTGTCAGTGCACTGATGCAAATTTTGAATGTTGATATTTACAAATGAATATGTTTGATAAGCATTGTTTGAATTTCAAATTCAATTGATTTTTACATAAACAAATGAAAAGGCCTTAAAATTAGTACGATAAATGTCAACACTGCCAATTCAGTAATGTTAAGCAGTTTTTCCTGTCTTTATAACATTTATTGCTGTCTTTTCTTCTTTCCTCTTATTATTGTCATTGTCATTTATTTTTCCCTTTGTTTGTTTTTAATTTATCTAAATTTTAATATCAATCTCATTATTAATAAAAAAGAAAATATTCCTACCCCTAACAAATGCTAGCTTCTCTTTTATTCACTCTACTTGAATCTGTTCAGTCTAAATGCAATGAGCCTTGTGACTGTGATAGCAGCTTTACATCCTGCTCAACAGAGGTCTGTGAGCAAGACTGCTTAAAGGCTTGTTATACTAAGTTTGACGGTGATTGCAAAAAGTATAAGAGTATCATCGATGTTAGGCCATTTATATGTTTTGATGACTGCTGCCCATCACTAAAGGATTGCTGCAAGCCTTACTTAGAATTTGCTAATATTGCTGAATTTGTAGCTAAAATTCCAAATGCTAAAAAATTGAAGAAAATGTACATTAAAAATGACGTAAAAGGCCTTATTAAATTTGCATCTCAATGTGATGGATGTGAGAACTACGATGCGCTCAATGCATTCTATTACAATGCTGATTCTCATTCTGGAATTTATTCCCTTAAATTTGACTCGAACTTCATTCTTTTCTTCCTTCAGAGGTTCTATTACTATCTTGATCTCATAGTTGATAGCTCAACTATTAAGATATCACATACTGCTCTGATGTGTGCAAAGACTAATAAATGTTATGATCTACTCTGCCCTCCCTGCACTTATACTGATCTTACTTTCGGAAGTGAATCTAATGCTTTGAAATTGTTTAATTCCATTCTTGGCAATACAGCTATCCACGATATTGTTATAATCTTCATTCGTATCCTTTTGTATCAAATCCACATAACCGTTTCTAGGTGTGCAGAACAAAATAATAAACTTGGGGGCTTCTCAACTTATAGCCTCTATGCTGAGCTTCTCCAGCAATATTTGGTAAAAACTAAAGATCTCAATGTTGCCAATACTCTGTATGTAGAAAACTTTGGCTCAAGTCAGGTCAATTTCTTCTACATTTGGTTCCCATTTGAAAATAATACAGCAACTGGAATAGTTGGTGCTGCAAACCTATTAAATGTACCATCTGCCACCTATACCAACTCAGAAACGTTCAGGTTCCTGAATTCTGACTATTAAATGAATTGGTTGTAAAATCAGTATACTATTTTAAACATGAATATAACCTTTAAACTGTATTTAATTCTATAGAAATTAAAATTATATGTTCAAATGCTTTTCTAAATTTCCACTGTGTGCTTTTTTCATGTGCTTTATCATCGAGCAGTTGTATACAAATAACTTTTCACAAAATTTACATTTGAATCTCACGTTTTCATGTTTGGCCTTTATGTGTGCTATTAAATTCTTTTTTCCACTATATTCAGACCGGCAAATTTCGCATGCAACTATTTTAGATGATTTTCTTTTACATGTATCCATTTTAGAAGATACTTTTTTACTTAATTTCTTCCTACAGTCTTTCACATGTTCCTCATAACACCCTTTTTTTTTGTAAATTTTCAAACAGAAAGAACACTTGTAAATTTTTAAACAGTATTTTTCTGAATGTACCTTCAATTTATACTTTCTAGTGAAAAGCTTACCACATTGCTCACACCTAATGGGGTTTCCATGTGATTGATGGTGAGATTTGAGATACCGTTTACATGAGAATGATTTTTGGCAAATTTCGCATGTAAACGGCTTTATTCCCATGTGTACATTGATATGGTCATTTAGATTGGCTTTGCATGTAAATGTCTTGTTACAATCTTCAAATGTGCATTTAACTACCATTACTTATTCTTCTTTATTTGGAGGAGTAAATAAATCCATTATAGAAAACGATTTTGCTAAAAGACTACTAATTTATTGCTACTATATATAAAAAGATGTTGTTCAAAGAATAGGCAAGGAAGATGCAAGCAACGCTTTTTTCTGAAGTAAGTAAAGGATTGTAGTAAGCAATGATTATTTATTAAAGAGTATATCCAATAAAATATAAAGAATAGAATCAAAAATATAGTATTAAAAAACTTAAATGGCGCACATAATATTGTACTTTTAATTTTCAACATGCATTTTGTTTTTATAATAAGAATATAAATTATGTTTAAAGCAGTTCAATATTGATCTCAGATCGTAAATATTACAACATGAAGGAAAATGTTTGCTATGGCCTACAGCTACTACATAGTCTGTAAGTGTTGTATTGTCCAAATTCAATAGGAAGTATAACAGTATGCCTATGTTATTTGTTTTCATGTTTAGAAAAGAGGAACGGACATCAAATTCCACCAATTGAATTTCAGTTTTAAATAACTTGTACATAAAAACCCTACAGATTTTTCTTGGCTTGCTACCCAATTCATTATCTTAAAATTGTGTTCACTTTATTAATAAGTAAATCTATTCTTTCTTTATAAAAGATCCTATAATCAGGCTTTGAATACTAAGCTTTTGAATAGATTTCTAACTATTTTTCATTATAAACCTGCTTTGCCAACAGTAATGCTAAAAGATTTTTGTTAGTTTATCACTTTCTGCTGGGTCTGGATTGAATATTCTAAAATATTATGTTTTCCTGTAATGAAAACCAAATGAATCTTTCTTTACATTTTTATTGAAAATTTAGTGATTTTTCATCTGGCAATTTTGATATTGAACAAATATTCTAACACGCATTAAATTTTGTCATGTTTTTCAATATATAACACGCTTAATATTCTTAGCATCCCTACCAAGTATTAAATGGTGTTGTTTGGCAATAAATATCAGTATTTTGGTGTAATTTCGGCTAGGTCATCGTTTCCAATAACATTTGATATTGTAATATTCCAACCAAAATATCTTGGAAGATTATTAGTATATTATGTGCTACTTCCTATTATTTTAAATATAAAATCAAGATCTCACCTACTACAATATTTGCAAGGGCGAATGGTAAAATTGGTTCCGCTGTGCTCTACTTTAACAACATTTCTTGAAAAACAAGGTGATTATTTTAAAAAAATATGTCAGTCCATGGCTTTAAATGTTTTTAATATAACATTCGTCGTTACCTTTTAGTAAATTATGAATTAAAAATTTATAATTTGCTAAAATTTACAAAATAAATATCAAATACAATATAAAACGTCAAGACGTTAAACTAATAGTTTTAGCTCACCTTCACATTTTCCAATAGAATGTTTAATAGTGCATTTCGATAATCATTGTTGTGAATGCCAAGGTGCTTTATTTTTTGTTTATTATGTAGTTTAAAATAATACTTTGAGAAAATACATGACAAATTTTTCTCATTAAATTATTCTTCTTACTTTTATCAATTATTAATTTATCAAGAAGTGTTGATAGTAAGCATAATGTAAAATTGTTGAATGTGGTTTAAATATTACTTTGAATATCCGATTGTGCATTTCGTTTTCTATCTTTATTGCTGATCCTCTTGATTTAAATCATTCAAAACATTTCGAGAGTCAGTAGAATTCATGAAATCATGAGGAATAGTCTTGTTTTTATGTTTCCGATGAAAATAACACATATTTTCTTCGTCGATTTACTGTTTTCATGAAATACCCATGTTGTTCTTTAATCTTGTAATCAATTCATGGCCCCGAGATTCGCAAATTCTCTTTTTTCATTATATAAATTACATATCAATGAACCACATCGTAGCATAAGTTTAAAAACAATAAACTTCGTTGTTTAAGTAATGTGATCACTTCACAATTGCCTATCAAACCAATATACATTATTTTCTAGCATATCAAATGTTTGTTAAAGTATGGATATCGACACATATAGAATTTAAAATGTATATTATATTTACGACAATTTGGCATACAAGTAAGTGTGTTCTTTAATAATATTTGATAGGTGAAAATTTTTTGTTACAAAGTAGAATCATTTTTGAAAGCTTTATCTAGGAAACTTGAGATTATCAAATTTTAGTTTTCTTCACAGTGACAGTACATTGTTTCTGTGCCTTGATGATTGCATACGTTTTCTATTTGTATATTTTTTTAGTGCCCATCTCTTATATTTGAAGACCAGCGGCTTTTATATAAACGTTTAAAATAATCTACGTCAATGGACCGACCTTCAAATATAAAAACATACATCTTAAAAAAAGTTCAACTTTTAAATAAATACAATCAATAATGTCAAAATAATCAAAAATTATCCGCACGATTTCCTCAAAGTATATTTGCTCGTTCTTCGACAAAGTAACGGCACCTCTTGATGGAGAACATCAGTAAAATATTTATAGATCTGGCCATCATCTTTAAGTGATTTTCATAGACTAAAACATTCTTATTGCCAAAATATCTTAGAATAAGCTTATCAATATCAAAATCAAATACTGATTAAGATATTTTTAAATAATGTCAACTATCCTACTGGAAAGGCACAAAGAGATATCAACCATATAAAGAGCTCAATTTCTCGTTATTTTTAGTATAGCATCGATTTTAAACATTCATGTATGTTAATTCTCACAATTATCATTATTGTTACAGTACTTGAATAGTATATTACCAGATGGTCCTATCATGTTAATATCTTTTTGAAAATCTTAATTGACTGATATTAATAATATTTTAACGCCATTTGTATGGCATTATACCATTGGACCATTGCATGTTTTTTCTAACAGACCGACTTGAATTAGAAGATACATTATTTTATTATCATGTAATCTTTAAAAACAAAAACTGTTAAAAATTCTGATTATACATCATCATATTATGGTGGAATATAAATTTTTTAAAAATACAAGCTTTAAAATATTGAAAATCATGCCATATCGATTATGGCAGCTGCAAATCTTGAATAACTATAAGGCATTTATTGTTGGTCTACTAAGCATAAAACAAATACAGCAATGAAAGAAATTGTAGAAATTTGTATGATATAATATAAATGACTGTTAAACATTAATATAAGGAACTTAATTGAAACATTAGCATATCTAATAAACATAAAAAGCGAGATATAATGGATAAAACTGGCTGTACATTTAAAAATTAATTTTCACCTGTGTATTTTTTGCTTTTTATTTTTTCATCTCGATTTTTTGCTGAACAAGAAAAATTAGAAGCAACATGACAATCTATAATCAAAAAGATAAAGTACTGGAAATTAATTATCAACACATGTCATATTTAAAATTTATATTCACACAAATTATCTCATCCTAATTTATGAATATTTCAGCATACATAACATTCAAGATCCATTATAAATATAACAACTATGTCTGTAAATAAAAATATTAATGCATTTTTGTAAAAAGAAAAGTAGCCTTTCATGTTTAATTTTTGATTGCCAGTTATGCGCTGATTTAGTGACTTGTTTCGGCATTATCATTAGAAACCGGCAAGATCTTAATAAAGATGAAGAAATAAAACTCCTTTTATCAACTGTTTCGTGCTTAATACGTTCATCTCAATTATAGATTTAACTAAAATAATAAGTGCCCACTCTCCCGATAAACGGGATTAGAGAGTGTGTGGAGTTTTGTATTTAGCCTCCATAAATCATAAGCTCATTCTTTAAAAATACTACTATAAATATGAACGAAATAATTTTCAAAGTTGGGATATAGATTAGAGTAATTCTAAACCATAAAGTGTCTTCTTTAGAATAATTTTGTGAATTGTTTTAGGTATATTTTTATACATATTATTTTTACGAAAACGATCTAGAAAATATTTTCAATCATATTTAAAGAGTATAAGGACTGGTACACTCCCACATCTAAACAATATTTTGATGGAGATGTTATTTTCTATAAAATATATTTGCGAATAAGGTAGGTTGTAATTAGTTGTCGGCTACTCTCATATTTAAACCGATTATGCAGCTTTTTCCTCTCTACATGATTAATTTATCAGTAGTGAGACTACAATTTTTGTTTAGTACATCAGCGCATAGTTAATATTCGCTCTCATTTCTAAACTTATGTGCCTTCTGACACTTTAATCTAAATTGACAAATCTAATTTAAAATTCTATATTCGCAATTATTTAAGGGAAACACATGAATATTTGAATGCGAAAGTGGTTGTGAAAAGAAGAGGTAAAAATAAAACCACCAAAGTAGTATCCGTTTAATCCTGAAAGGTGGGTTTGCACAATTTGTCATACATCCACCGAAAATCATGTTATGAAATAGTTGCTTTTTAAACAAAGAAATTGATATTTCTGATAAAGTGAAGTAGGCTATAGCTACTCGTCTTGAATTAATGACCGCTAGCAACATGCAAAAATCCTGAAGAAACTAAAAGAGGTACCATCTTAAGAATCTAGTAAATATTATTAATATTAGCATCATGTCACAATAGAAAGAAGTTATTCAAGATAACATAAAGTGATAAGAACGTAATGGTGTTTGTTTGGTTTTGTAACAGGGACGAATAAACTATTCATATACTAAGATAAAGTAATTATATTCTATCAATTTAAAGCGCTAACTTTCTTTGTTAATTAGGTCTGTTCAAAAACTTCGCATCACAGCAAATCAATTCTTTTTATTAAAAGATTAAACCATTATTGGATTGGATTATAAAATCAAAGTATCAAACCATTTCTCAAACTGCTCATTTCAGTCTAAGAAGATTTTTTTGAAATTTTAATTAATAGAGTCTATCAAAAATTAAATTTCATACTAAAGAATCGAATCTTTTTTAATTATTCTTATGTTATCATGGCTCTGTTTTTATTACATATATTATTATTAAAGTCGAATTGATTTTTAAAAAAATTGGTGGTTAAGACGATTTGAATACTTTAAAATTAATGTTTTGTGTAGAACATCGGCCAAATTTATTATAAATAAATTAAAATTTTGAACATGTGATGTGATAGCATTGTTAAAAATTCTGGAACACGGCCATTATTTTAGTTAGTATTTAAGCATTTAAGTAACTGTTTGATCTACTGCATTTTATTTAAAACAAACATTCTAAATGATCATTATGGTGATCTAAACATTAGATTCTTAGTTAAGTACACATACACATAATGTCTTATAATTCTTATGTAATTAAAATTGCTTTCCCAATAAATAACTATAAAAGGTACACTTATCTGTGACCAAGATCCTTGCATAGCATTGCGTTCTTTATTAAATATTGGCACGATTGTGGTAGTATTCATTTCTTGAGACAAAGTTGTCCAAATTTACATATCAAATACATCAATTGTTGGAATAAGTCCATTATTAAAGTTAGAAAACAGTTTTATATTATAGTTGTAATTGTTTGTTTTAAGTGTTGGCCAATAGCTACATTTTCTGATTTTATCTTTCTAATAAATCTTCAAAATAACTTGCAATGCACCATCTCTCAAGTCTCTCGGTCTATTAAGTTTTACAGATTAAAAATTTTGATACATCTTTTACATTTTCTATTATGTAAAACTAGCTGTTTTAATTTTCTTCATTAACTTTTAATATTCCACTTCTTGACTTCATATCTAAAAAGATAATGTATCGGTATAATATTTCTTTTTTGTTCTTAAATGTCAATCTATTATATATTTAAATACTGTGGACATTACCATAGTCTAAAAGGTTTAAAGGAATTTATATGGTCAAATTTTTTACTAGAAGTCTCCATAATAATTTGGCAATATCCTGTCTCATGATTTAAATTCTCATTATTATGCATAGTATTTATTGATTCTGGATGGTGGACATCTGCTTTTTGTTATATCACTCGCATAATAATAACATTTCCTAAAGTAATACAAATTTAAAGGGCCATTCTTAATCATTACAAGTGATCTTAAAATCACATAATGCTTAAGATAGCATTTAATTTAATATTTACCAATGCGAGGCATATGGAAATTTTTATATGCCAATGAATTTTATCACTTGGGTAAAATTTATGTTTTAACTTGGATGCCATTAAAGTCTATTAAAACTTGGCAAAAACCATGGGGCAATAGTATCTCAAACTTTTGAACTAACTCTTCTCACACCATACTTACATGCTATAATTAACTAATTCATAAAAACTTGGAAAGTGTTGTGGCATGGACCATTCTATTTCTTAGAAA